TTGTTGGTAGGGAAGAAGTTGTACGCGGCACTAGACTCGATTTTGACTGCTGATTGGAATGCTGCGGCAGCTGCTGCTTCGTTGGCTGGTGCGGCTCTGAGAACGTCGGCAACACGCTCCTCATTTGACTTGGTGCCATAGTTTGTTACTGCCTGATTGGTGATTGTGCTTGCTACTAGACGCACCGCTGGCGCCGCCACCACCGCCACTATTTCCGGCCCCGTGTTGCTGACTGTATTTGGGGAACTTTGCAGGTGTTCCACCAATGCCAAAGTCGGATAACGGTTGACGGCGCTTTTCGACTGCCTGACGCGCTTGGTTAAGTTCGGATAAAGAAACTTCTGCCATCAGAGCCTGTGTGGGGTAGAGTGAAGGATTGCTCAACGTGTTTTGATGTGGGATTACAAGCTTGATCTGGCATGTCACATGCCAGATGTGTTTCGTTGAAATATAACCGACATTCCTGTCATTTGACCAAATTACGAAGTACTTTCAGAACCCCTCTGGATTGCATATTGCGCGTGACTGCACTTGTGACCTGAGGGAGAAACTCAAGGTTATAAAACCCTTTGCGAATTGGATCGATGCGACCGCGAAGCTTGATACTTTTGCCCCATGATTTCAAGGCGAAGTAGATGGTGTAGGCCACATTGGACGGCGTGACTTCGTTGCTGTCGACGCCTTGCTTGCCCTTTTTTGAGGATGATGACATCATAGTAGCCATATCCAGATGGTATTTGCCCAAAAAGTGAGCGTATTCAGCAAGAATCGCCACAGGTTGTCCTTGGAACATGTTGATTATGCGTTGAAGATGATTGCTGCAGAATAAAAGACTTCCACCGTTGACTGCGAGCAGCAATTTGCTCCACTTCATGTGTTCGCTGCCTTTTAGTTTGAGCTGGTCTGCTGCTTTCTGTAAGGCCTTGCTATCTGACGCGAAGGTCGCGCTCAACATCATGACTTCGTTGGGGTTGAGCTTGGTGGAAGACTGATTATGCATTGGAGGTCGCTTCAGGATGGTGTAAGCATCTTCGAGTTCCTTGCCTGACATCGAAACATAGTCGGCGAACCATGGATAAGCGCCAACGATCTCAGGGCCCATTGATACATCGCCGGATGAGTTCTGTAAAGAGGAAATTGATTGGTGGTTGTCGAATGATACAGAAATTGATCTATAAAAGTTTTGATTTGTAGCATGATAAAGTTGGAATTCGTGAATGTGTTCATTTTACCGCGAGTGCGTTCTTGACTTCTTTCATCCGCGCAAGCGACTTTTGATTGTTGCAACTCATGCAAACCGTTTTTTCTGGTTCGTCGGTGTTGACCACATAAAAGAGATTGTGGACCAAGGATCCTTGATTGCGTTTGCAATCATTACACACGCATTTGGTACAGATCAAACTGCCTTCCTTTACGTTTTTGCATGCTGCGTAGATATTTAGTTCTGACGCGATTTTGTCGCAGGCCATGCAAGTGAAAGCGGGACTTTGGCCGAGTTGTCCCAACGCACCCGGCTGGACTCCGCCCGCGTCGCCGGGGTTTACCATGTTTTTGTTGATTACGCAGTGATTGCGATAATTTTGGATTCGACGATGTAGTTCGCTATTGTGTACACTAAATGTTTGATCTCGTTCGTTCGATGTTGCATTGTGGTTTTCCGGTTGGGGAGTCTGTGACTCATAAAATTTGTTGAGCCAACAGTTCCAATCGTCCTCAGAGTACTCCTCCCATTGATCAAAGTCGTTGCCTGATGCAACGGTAGAAGGGCTGCCTTCCAACTTCTTGTTTACTTCTTCCAAGGTGGACATGATGTAGTGATTTGGTTGTCGCTACTAAACAAATTTTTTCTTATTTATGCCTTATTTGATGATCCAAGATCCTGGCGTAGATTGGGATGAGGGTGAGACGTTATGATGAGAGAAGCAAAAAACGTTATAGATTTGTTTGCTTAATGCATCGCTGATTTCGTTAATTCGATCAAATTAAAGTTTTTTGTGCTTGGTTCGTACTGAGTATATAGTGACAGCTTCAACATGCATTACGATTATAGTTGATGATGTGTTGCCTTCGTTATGCACTTCAGTGTTGTGTCGGGTAGACAAAAAAGACTTTATGACTTCAGTTGGAATGGTTGCAATTCCCATTACACCAAATTTCAGTTGTATGAATTTCATTAGTTGAAATCTCCAAAAAAGTGTTGTCTTTCAAGTCGTCCCATGAGTGTCAATGTGTGACGTGTTTGTTTCACAATGTACTGACGTCTTTAGTTAGTGATTGATTCTTCCTTCACTTGACGCGCAAATGACTGATTCTTGATGCCTTGAGTGTTGGAAGATGATGCATTGGAGTCGGATTTCGAGTTGTGATTGCTAAGATCGAAATTGTCGACTGCAAAACGGATTTGATTCTCGGCTTCTGCGTCCACCGACAAATTGGCTCCTTGCTGCTTCAGTTCTCCGATGAATTCCAACAGCGCGAAACGAAGTTCGAACTCAACACCACGATCCATAGCGCGGCTGCTCCAGTCACGTAGCGACTTCCGGACGCATTCGATTCCTGCGACAGACCATTTGTCTTCCGTGAATAAGGGTGGAGGTAAGAAGGCATTACAGTTGTTCCACCGCACGAAAGACTTGTTGAAATCTTGTCCAGGTTTTATTGCGTAAGCCAGCGCCAGGAGAACCTTCGTTGTAGCGTTTACCTCCATATCGGGGTAGACCGCAGCTAGTACCGATAACGTGCGTCCTAGTGCTTGCATTTCCGCCCATGAACAGTAGGCGTACAAAGTGGTTACCGTTGCTCCGAAGTGTGGGAAGCTGGACACAAAGATCAAAACGGAAGAGAACAAATGAGGGCTGATCAGTTTTGCGTAGCTGCTCTCCATAGCGAAAGAATCCAGGACGTTGCTAAAATTTCCGAAAACGCGAAGTTTGGATGCACAAAAACCACCTTGCACAGCTTCGGGCCACAAGTTGGCTTTTGCCTCTGCATGACCCTTGATAGCCTGAAGAGAGCTTGACTTGATGGTTGTGTTTAATAAATGAAACTTGAATTGGTTTGAGTGTGGATTTTTTATAGGAATCGGATGAGGCGAGAAATTTTATTTTAATTTCAAGTTGGAAGTTAATATTTATACTTGCATCTCGTCCACTGCGAATCCAGTGAAAACGACTCGATTGTGGCAGGAGCTTGCTTTGCATGTCCGAGTGCATGAATGACTGTTGGGTTCGATGATAACACGGCAGTGATCGCAGACTTTTTCAAGCACTGGCCCTTTCTTGTCGAACAAGATTTTGTCAGTTTCGTTTTGATTGCTGCGTATGGCACCCAAAAAAGGTGACGAGTTCGTCATCATCGCACGCAACTCACTGATGTAGTTGCTAACGTTGAGTTCCTTGATACTGTGGAGCTCGACCTGCGCCGTGAGTTTCGCGATCAGCTCGCCGATTGTGTTGGATTTGTAAGATGAATCAAGCAGCGCGTTTGACCACTTCTTCATCTCGCGCACCCAGTTACCGCACAGCTTCAAAATTTCTTTGTCGGAAGGGATGCCTTCTGGTGTCTTGATGGTTACATGGATGAGGCCATTGGTATCAGATCTGGGGTAGCGGTAGCCAAGGCAGATGAATTCGGTCCCCTTGTCGTTTAACGCTTCGATAGCGCAAACGCGGAAGTAGACGGGGCTGTCCATTATGGATGAGTGCTCGTCGAACTTTTGTGGGACAAGGTGTTGTTCTCCTCCAATTCTTTCCCAGCTTATATTACCACAGACACTATGAATGTTAAACCTTACAGTTGCAAAGCGTGATATTGTGTGCTGATGAGAGAAGTTGATGTCGAGTAGAATGATTTCGCCTAAATACGACTGTGCTACAAAATGCACGCCAAGATCAATGATTCCTGATAGTTTTTTGTGTTGTTGCGTGCCATGTTGTTTCAGAAGGACTGTGTATAGAAAGAAGGACGGAAAAGTTGTGAGATGATGAAGCGCGATGACTACTACGGATTGTTCCTGTGCGACGGAGTCCGAAGCGTTAGTGTTCCTCTTCTTGAGAGGTGGGCCGTTACTACTGAGGTCCTTCAGCGAAAAACTGTTGAAATTCCCACTGATTCTGATTGTCGCGAGAAATTCTTCGTCGATTGTGTTTGCTTGACTTTCAGAAAACTCGTACGTGGATGAATTGGACATGACTGCTCTATTGTGGACTTTCTGGGGTAGACACTGTTCATTGATGAAGTAGAAGATGGTCTCCATTGCTAGGGTGCTTGATGTTGAAGCCTGAAGCTGAATTATACCGTTGACCGCGTAACGTTCGGTCCCTTCAGTGAGATGCAAAATGACATTTGCTGCGAATTTGGTGCGATTGTCTCGCTTGCGTTGTAGGTGGGAGAACTTGACGTGCGCATAGGCAATTTCGCCAGTCTCACCAGTTTGCGAGTGCATGTTTGACATGTTTGTTATGGTTGAGAGCTCGAAAGAAAAGGTAATCTGATACCTATTCGAGATGCGCTCCAATTTTTTTTGACAGAGGATTGTGGACAACAGGCGTTTATACTCAGTGGCCTTTTTTGAACACGATTTGCTTGTTTGGACTTGTTTCTGGTTAGAAGTATTGTGATTGCAGAAATGGTGTCGAGTTTTCCAGTTTTGTATTTGAATTATTCGATTGAGATGACAACGGAATGGGATGGATTGATTGAGATGGATTTTGATTGAAACGAATTAATGGATTGATTGATAAGGATTGAAAATGGATTAAGTGGATTGATGGATTGGTGGATTGAATACACTTGGCGTCCCAAGTGCACCGCGTGTAGGATGCGCGGCCCCCAGATGACAGATGATAGACGGGTGACAGCACGGGTAACGCTCCTAAATTGGCTAGGACGAACACCTTAGCTATTCTACCATATCAACAATTCAAAGGTAAACTCATTTCAAGTAACACTTCGACTTCCAGCCTTAAAAATTGCAATTCACGCCAACTGGTGTCGCACCAGACGAAGACGAGTAGTCCAAAGCCCCAGAGGCCGTTGAGGCAGACGAAGACGGAGGAGGTTGGAAGTCTTCGGTCGGTGATTAGTGCTCAGCGATTGAGATGTCCTACCAGAACCAGGATGAAGATTGAAGATTGAAGATAAACTAAGCTCAAACTCTATGTTGGAATTGTGAACATTTAGCCATAATCAAGCTGCAGCATGATTTTTCTTGCTGGGCTGCTTCCCGCAGCAACAGTCGGCTTGTCGCTGCCAGTCACTGCCTTTGTTGCCGCAATGCGAAAAGCAGTTTCCAAAACAGCAACTATTTCTATTTCTTCTCTGCTGCTCGTTTCAGTATCAGTTGCTCCTTCGTCGCCCTTGCCACCTTCTCCTTCTGCTTCATCCACAGGAACTTCTACAGCAGGTTTTTTCTTTTTCCTGCCATGCACAAGATTTCTGACTACTGTGGCAAGACTTTTCGTCTTCTTCTTGCTCTTGTGCATGGTCTTTGGGGCACCTATGATTTGTAAATGCGCACGCACCTCTTCCGCTGATGGCATGTTCTGCAAGGCTTTCTGCTCACGGCGTCGTAGTTCTGCATAATTAGAAGCAGTGAATTAGTAGTCGTAGTTCTGCATAATTAGAAGCAGTGAATTAGTAGTCTCAGAGTGTTCTTGTAGATCATGTTTGTAGGTGGACTAAGAGTAGGCCAAACTTAGAGTACTTACAAAGCCATAAGATACAACAGCACCCAATCTCCTGTATCGACACTTTCAAGATGCTTTTTGCTCAATTTCATGCATTGCTTGCCCTTCGCAACGTTGCGAGGAAAGCGCTCTGCGTCTACGATGACCGAAACCAAGTCTGTCAAGACGTTTTTAACGCCGCTCTTCGTCGTTGATGTTGGGAGTATGAAAGAGGGAGATGCGATATGTATTGACAAGTTGAAGTTGATTTTGAGGCTCTTTTAAAAAACTATAACAAGCAACAGTCGTGTTCATAAAGTAGCTCAAATCCGGCGAACTGTTACATTCGATGAGCCAGACGTTGAGCCTATCGTCGACCATGAAATCGAAGCCGACCATCTCGAAACTGTTCTTTCGGTCCGCAAGTAATACTCGGTCTTGGCAAGAGAGGAGGGCTAGGTAGACGATGCGGAAGGTTAGAGGTTGTTGTTCACGTTTTTCGTGATGTAGACTTTGCTGGAACTACTTACTTGATGACATCTAGATGTACATGAAGATGTCATAGCACAAACATCGATCTGGAAAAAAAAATGGTTGATGCTAGTAATATTCTTGATGCTAATATTCTTATCGCTCCATAACTTGATATCTCGCTGAATCTTGTCGCGCCACAGGCAGCTCCCTGAAGATACAACTGATGAGGCATTCTTTGAGGAGGAGGATGATGAGGATGAGGAGGACTGCTTGGTTGGACTCCGCTGCGAGGACTTTCTTTTCACCTTGGTAGGACTCAGTCTCTTCGTCTTTTCCGTTTTTGGTGTCTGCTCGTCTTCTACGTCGCTACAGCTGTCGTCATCAACCGTTTGCACATCATCAATTGTACACGAAGAAGAGGCTCTTGTGCTTCTCCTTCTAGTAGTCGTAGTACCTCCATCAACAAGACCATCTTCTACTGCATTTGCATCCATGTCGTCCTCCACCAGACTTCTAGTTCTATACTGCTTTGCTTCTTCGCATACTTTGAGATGAGCGATGTACTCTTCGCAGTCCCACATGGTGTCGTCTTTCGTCTCCTCAAACTTATCCGCGTATTTGACGATACTGTTGTTCGTCAGATGTGCAAATTTGTTGCCGGTATCAGCCTTATCGTAGTCGTCAAAACCAAAACGGAGGAAGTTAAAGGAGGACGAGAGAATGTTCTTGTCAACATGGGATAATGAAAATAATACTGTTACTTGTTAATGCTGTAATCACAATTTATCCGCCCTCCGTACCTTCGTCCGTAGTGAGTTAGTATTAGGCTGAAGCTTGTTCCTTAGTGTGCTAAAAATATATTAATATCAAAACCAATAAACATCATACATAAGGTAAGCCCAATCGTAGAACCAGATTCCCATCGGCTGCCAGCTTGTAATGCACGCCCACTGCCGTACATCGAACTTTTTGTTTCTGATGATTTGAGGATTCTCTATGTACTTCTGCGCCATCCAAAGGGCTTCTTGACCTCTCCCGCAGTCTAGTGCCTCCTCCAGACGGTCTGTGACGAAGATGCCCCGACCTCTAGACTTCCCAGCCGGTTTTAAGATCCAGAGATTGCGGTCTCCGTAGAGGTGAAACTGCGGGTCAACGTCTTCCCACTGTTAGAGTCTCCTGCTAGATTTTTGCATCTCGGCCCCCTCATCTTGGCCCCTTCATCTACCTTGTACTATTTCACGAGAATACAAGGAGAATAAATAAAGGGAAAAGGGGACACTACATGTTCGATCACGAGAATAAAAGGGAAAAGGAGACGCTAAATGTTGCCGAGAAAGATGGACACTATATGTTGACCTTAACACTGGGCTAAGCAGGATAGGACACGCTCACGGAAGGGGTCCTGCGGGTCATCGTCTTCTTCATCGTCTTCCTCTTGCAGGTTGCTCTTTGCCTCAGAAGCGGCGGGGATGGCTGGTGCACTGCTCTTTTTCCGTCTTTAGTTCTTAGAAGAAGTGATGCACTAGACTTCAACTGGGCCTAGGCTTTCTGTACATGTACTAGGCTACTTCTAACAATCTCATTGGCCTTAGAATTTAAGAAACGACGGACTCTCCTTGTGAAAATGAACAAAAGTTTTGTATCATGTGCAGCTTCTAATAAATTCGGAAATGAAACCAAATAAAGGAGCTTTCATTTTTTTCGGAGCTGCCTTGTACTTATCTGGAGCACAAGAAGTAGTTTTCATCCAGAGCTTATCAAAAAAAAGTCCTTATACATAGCTTTAGATGGTACACTAAGTAGTTAAACTAAAGCTGCCACATGCCGTAATCTTCCTCTTCTTCTGAATCTTGGCCAACAAGGAGCAAGCCAGCGTCCGCCTTCTCGTGTACTTAGGCAGGTCCTTGGCCGGGTTGTCCAGATTCACATCTCGAATCGCTATCCAGTCGTCGTCCCGAATCTTGCGATAATCCGTGCCACTCGTGTGATCTTCGATGCAGTCGTCCAAAGGCTTTAGCTTGCGCTCCAAAGCCTCCAACGCCGCTTCGACTGCACTCTCCGCGATGCCACCTTGTTCTCCCTCTAGAACAAGAAAACTCTTCAAAATGGCCAGACATTTCCCACGCTTGAAATCTTCTATGAAAGTGTCAGTGTCGCAGCTGAGATTGAAGCAACGAGGGTAGAAGGTGTCGATATCGATTGGGGCTCCTCCTGAAGATGCAAGGGAAGATGCGGGAGAAGTAGAAGAAGATGCTTTAGTGGAGCTGGAAGAACTTCCACCAGATTGAGACTTGCCTATTCTAGTGGTTGTTGTATTACTCGAGGACGAGGCAGGACCTGGAGTAGCAGTCCTCTTCTTTTCGGTAGTAGGTGACGCTGAAATTGGAGATTTGTCCGCGGCATCGAGGTGACCATGATCAGCATCTTGATCCTCGTCATCTTCTAGTACATCCCCCCCAGTTGTATCCTTCTCATTACGATTACCATTGGTGCATCCCACAGCACTCAGTTCTCCCAGAGTGTCTTGGTCCACGCCCTCGTTTTCATCAGTAAGTTTTCTCGACCTCCTCCTCTGACTAGCAGAGGATGAGGAGCTACAACTAGCAGCATGCGGCCCTGGATCATCACACCAACACAAGGTCTGAAGATTGCTCGTCAGACTGATTTTGGTGGTAAATTCATGGTTTGTGGGGAAATAATTCACCACCTGGCCGCTGTCCTGTAGCGCGTTGAAATCGATATCCTTTTTTCGGGAAATTAGAGACGAAGGAGCGGCGTGACAAAAAATGTGACATGACCTACTTGATAGCGGAAGGATGCCGTCGTTGCAAGGGTGACCATGTCCTACTGTGAGGCTGTTTGATATTTGAGCAAGTCTCGTCTTTTGGCGACTTCTATTTGTCCCATAAAATGGTGTACTTCAAGTCCCAGGATCGTGAATCTACCTCGTCATCCGCAACCCATCCTCTCTGCTCAAAACCCTTACGAATGCTAGGGAATCCGCCAATTATCTGGAAACTCTTCGGCGCAGAGGGAGTGGATCCTGCTGGTGCTGTTGAAGCGCCGGAGACTCGATTAGTACTTCTTGTGGTGCCGGGGGTGGTTGATGTCATTTTTTTTACAGTGTGAACGTTGAGTAGAGCCACAAAGAAGATTATCTACAAATCCACGACAGCTAAAGTAGAGCAACTTCCATCCTCATTTTCTAGCTCTCATTTTCATCTAGCGGTTCTAGTTCAAATTTTTTTCCTCTGGAGTGTCGTGGGTATTCTCTAGTAAAACCTTTTAATTTTGTGTTTTCCTCCATCTTCTGAAATTATATTTGCTGTTTCCTTTTTCCAGTCTTCGAGGACACCCCCTTTCTTATAGCCCCAGCCTCTCCCGACCACGACACCCGACGCGGTCTTCAGGAAGATGAAGTCGTAAGTATAAGTACTTCACGTGGCTTGTTCTTTGTGGTTGTATTTGTTGTAGCGTTTACGTTTTCCCAATGTTGGTATTAAAACAAGAATTATAGTGAAGAGGAATCATGAGAGAATCGGCGTTGCTCCTACTCGGTCTCGAATCCGTGAAGTCGTAACTACTATCGCAAAATTCAATACTCTCTATCTGTATCTACTGGACAAGAAAGTACTCATTGAAGAAGAACTGTTTACAAGAGAAGTAGTCATGAACTTTGAACTTATACTATTATTACGAGGAACATCACCAGTAATCATCAGAAATGAATCCTGCAAGATTTGCATCTACCAAAAACGTTTCATACGCGACAGAGATTGTTCTCTTTACGGTTTCGCTTTCGACCCATTAGTGTCATTACTACAACCCTGGGAGCAGAACCCTCATCCAGCTCCCCCCGCTCCTGTCTCATCCAATAGCACCTGGGACGTCTGTTCAAACTCAGCCGAAATCCCGTGTCCTCCTTGCTCTGCGTCTCCGTCGCCCCCTGCTCCTCTCTTAGCAACGTAGTTACTATGATGCTCAAGCATCATGCCGGTCGGTGATTTTTCCATTTCCAACCTGTCTGGCGAGGATCTGGCTGGAGATCTTTGCTGTGAGGTCGGCAATTGATCCTCTGCGAGCGATGGATTAGAAGAAGATCTCGATTGCTTGGGTGTATGGTTCTGGTATTTTTGGTATAGCCTGAGTTTGATCCTAAGGGAAAACAAGAAGAGAACCCTTAGGATCAAATTCAGGCTATACCAAAAATACCAGAACCATACATTGGGAAAGAATGATGGGCGTGTTTGATTGTCGTGTGAAAAAAACCAAGGTAGTCGTGAGATCGAATAGAATGCGTCTGCACCAAAGTAGTCGTGAGTCAGATCAGATTTAGCCTTCATGCCTTAACTTGTGCATCATCTAAGACGCCCAATTCGTCTCGCAGTTTCAGGAGAACATCGCCAACCCGTTTTTCTTCATTAGCAAGCTTCCTGTCCAGGGTCATTACTTGCTGCACTGTGGTCTTATGCTCTGCTTCGAGAGCCTCCAGTTCGGCGGCGGCCTGTGAGAGAGTGAGAGAGTATTTGAATAAAAATGCGTAGTAGGACTAGAAGGAGTCAGAGTTACAAACTTACTAAGTAGGACTTCTAGGTAGAAACAGTGTATCCTATAATCCGAATGCGAAACTACACCATCACCAGACGCTCAACAAGTGGGCTAATACGCAAGATCGTAATAATACCGCCTCCTCAGCCGCTTCTGCTTCTGCAGCTATTCTGGCCTCTTCCTCCTCAGCATCGGATTTTTTCTTCTTCTTCCCAGAACTAGCTGCTCCCTTCTTTGCTGCACTACTCGCTGCACCTTCTTTACTGGCACTAGGCGGTTGACTTCCTTCGGCGTCGACTTTCTCCGGCGTCTTGACGGCCACATCTACTTCGTCTCCCAAAAGCTCCTTGATGTATTCATCGCCGCCCTCTTTTGCGATCATTATCGCCTCCACTAGGGCAGCCAAAGTTCTTAGTTTCTTCCCAAAATCATCATGCAATTTGCGGAAGAGGTTAGAGGAGGAGCGAGGGAGATGGAGAGCGACGGAGACGGAGAAGACGAGCGTGACCTTGATGTGGCTAGGGGATGGATTTTGGATCATCAGTAACTGAATGATGATCAGTTACCTAGCTATAGTAGGTAGAGCTGGAGATGAATCAAAAGCAAAAACATGTGACCGCTAGTCTACTTAACAGCAAATTGATTCATAAGCAACGATTCATGGCTGCCAATTTTGTACAAGAGCGCGTTCCGTTTCTTCAAATATTCTCCCTCTGAGCTTATCCTTGCCAAATCGGCAGATAGATTTTCCAATATTCTATCCTTCTGTGCTCGCACAGCGACTTCCCGTCTCAGCTGCGTTGCTAGTTCCACCGTCTCTTTTTTCCTCCTCTCTAGTTGCAGCTTCATGGACAACAGTCTATCACGACCTTCAGAGAGGAAGTGATCTCGTGACGTTGCGGATATGCTTGAGGAACCAGATTCGTCTTCGCCTCCTGCTGCATTTGACGTCGCACTAGGACCTCCTGCTTCCTGTCCTCCGCCAACCGAACTCGTGTCATCGCAGCTATGGTCCTGCGATTGTAGCCTGTAGACGACCGCTCTCTGCGGTGCTTCTACTGTATTTCGCAGTACGTCTCCGCATGGCGCTCCGCCGTAGCTGCATATTGAAGATACATTTCTTCTGTCTAAACAAGCACACCTCTGCTCCGAAAAGAGAGCAATTGAAATTGATGAATCAAGGTGGATTTAGATTCACGCTTCCAAGTCCAAGAATATCCTGAACCTGATGTATGACAGTTTTTCGCATAGATACGTACAAAAGTAGTACGAGATGTAGCACACCTCTCCCAAATATCAAGGTAGCGACTTCGTTCTCGTACAACTAAATCTAAAATTATTATACCACACAAACGCTCCCCCACTGAAGTCGCTAACCGCCATACATTTCCGTGGTGGTGGACAGTCTCCACTGACATAAGGCGTGGTCCAATATTAGAGTCTGCTAGATTGCATCTCGGCCCCCTCATCTTGATCCCTTTTACCTTGTCTTTCACGAGAATACAAGGGAAAAGGGCACCAAGATGCCGAGAATGATGGACACTAAATGTTGACCATAACAATACAGACACTGGAGGTCTAAGACGTACACGGTTGATCCCATCACTGGGAAGCCTCCTGGCGCATCCTTCAGTAGTCCGCCCCATACTACTAAGGAGTCGGGAGCGATGTATGGTATGAAAGGGGAATAAGGATATCTCTTGGTATCAATCCGATCTCTTTAGACACCATAACTGAGAAGTGAGAGCTGAAAACTCCGGATCATTTGATATGAGAGAGTTGCTTCTTGTTCCTGTACAACCATTTTCATAAAGAGCATTGCATGACCGGCTCTAGGTGCTGGTGTTTTCCCTACTGTGCGAACTAGACTCCAGTGGCCCTGTCGCGATCCACTTGTTTGATAGCTCCGTTATTAGCGATTTTTTTTAGACGAAACAGTTGAGTACTTATGAAGTAAGCGACGGCTACAACGCACCACGACAACGGTAAAAAGTATTAAAATCATCCATAGATTCTGTTGACTGGATCGTGTCACTGGAACCAATGAAGGGTCGGAGTACATGACAAAAATCTCACCTCATAACATAAATCACCAAGCTTCTGAGTCGGTGTATTTTGTCCTCCAAACATGTAGATTCGTTCCTTTATTGACACCATCGCGTGTCCAAACCGCGCTTTTGGATACCTCTGACTTTTCTCCGCTGAATGGCCCACCCAGGTTGAGCCTCCGATGCCGCGGGTGTTGGAGGAAATCATCTAAGATTTCTAGTGCCTAAAAAACGTAAAGGTGGAAGATAGAAGTAAGTCTACTAGCGTTTGCTTTAGGAGGCATGCTAGACTCGACACTTCCACCTCTTCAACTTCAGCTATCTTCAAGTTGAACTCCGTCTCCACTATCATAACATTATATGCCTTCGGATTTTGCACCGGTGCTGCCATGTCGCAGCTGTCTATGTTCAAAGACCACATGTCTGCCATTATCCCGTTTGAGTTGCTCATCGCTGCTGCACGTCCACCAAACAGCCATATGGCATTTTCGTGCAAAAGAGCTGTGTGTGTAGTCGAAAGGAGGTTGTTGTCGAAGATGTGACTTTCATCGTGTATAATTTCCCGTTATTACATCAGCGGTTGTTACTTACAAATATGGAGAACAATACCAATATAATGAAGAAACATTAAATACTTATAATCGTCCATAGTTACCGTATGCCCCTTCCCTAGCGCTCGGTGCTTCTGGACAGAAGAGTTTTCGCCATACCGGTCCCGCAGTATGCTCTAAATCCAAAAACCAGGTGGAACTGGATAGTCCGAACCGACCCTGGTCTCCCTGTGTCTGTCCCCCGAAAGCAAAGAGCATGGCTCTGCCTTTGTCACGATTGAGTCTACCGCGGACGCGAGTACTATCGTACATTACTCCACACATCGCGTGGTTGCAGACCTGTTGCAACATCAGTCACGAACGAGCAGTGCTGTAAGTCGTGTTGAAGATTCATTCAGTGTCTTTGTGTTTGGCTTCCGAAATATTAAAGGTGAAACAACATCACCAGGGCAAACTACTCTACACCTCTTCAAACGCATCTTCAAAGGCAACTGGTGAAAGGGCAACAAGAAAAGCATCAAGGTTGATGACATCAAACGACACCTCTTCAAACGCATCTCCCGTCTCGGGGGTGATGTCGAGCCACTGCCATCCTTGATCTGCATATGGTCTCAGATGAAACACTCTTTTCGAACGTTTTCCTGTGAGACCTCCAACGAGAATGAAATTGTTCGCATCCAGTGCCATAATTCTCGCGTTCGTAATCATGGCAGGAGGCTGCTGCCCCACGCCTAAAAAACTGTCCCATGCTAAAGTCGCTGACATTTTGTACTCGAAAAACTGGAATAACCGAGTAGCAGACGAGAATAACCAAGATACAAGAACAACTGAACAAGGAAGAGTAGTCTTGCGAAACTACGTCCCCTATTTCAGTCAGTAACTCGAAAATTAGAGTTTTCGATTAGCTCGTTCTAGAATTCGCGAAGACCGTTGGTGACTGTTGCTCCAGAGCTACTAGAGGTCTGTTGTAGTACCCTCTAGTACCCGTTGTGAAGATGATTCCTTTTCTACTCCTTGTTGTTCTCCGGCAGAAGCATCATCGCAGAAGTCATATAGCCCATCAAGTGAAGATATGTCGATCAGGTTGACGAGATCTCGGGCTTAAGCTGAGCATGGCGTGAGGTTTTCGTTTCCAGCTAGGTAGGAGCCTCCCGCCCCCGCTCCCAGCCGCAGCTGCACACTAGCCAGAGTGCGTCGCACTCCTTCTCAGAGCATGTTCTTTCTTCGCTACTTCATGCTCGTAGACACACAATGGAGTAGACAGTTGTGCGATATTTCAGGACAGTGCTTACTCGTCATAGCGCACTCCAGTATCAGCAAAACTTTTCTCTACTCTTCGTTTCTTTGTTTCTTTTTGTGCCCATGACCTCTGCAACTCAAACGTGCTCTTCCATTTTTTCCTTTTTGTTGTCTCCATCACAACAACATCAAAAAACTTCTCCTGGGAGTAAATGTAAAACGTTGTAGTACTTACAATATACATTGTTTTGTTCCACCCTGAATTTTTCATTTTGCAGTAAGCAGGAATAAAAGCTGACTTCCTCAAGCCTCTCGAAGCACTCCTCGACACCTTTCTTCCGATATTTGATTTTGATACTCCCCACCAATTTTCTTCGCAGGCAGAGGCCTCAACTTGTTGCGCAGACTTCTCATCATTTCACCAGATGCGGAACTTCAAATAGAGGTGCAGGTGCTGATGAAGTTGTAAATATCTCTATCATGCTTGTTCAGTTACTTGTGTTGTAGAAGTACATCACAGTGTTTCTTTCTCACTCTCGTTGAGCATTTGACAGTATGATGTTGAGTCGTGGGGCGACCCAGGAGGAAATTTTCCATGGGGAGGGGAGAAGATGAAGTCTTGTGTCAACATGATCTTCGATCCTGTCAATGACCATGCTGGTGTTCCTACGGTTTTCTTGCTCCCCCGGTATGTAAGTTTTTAGATGGGGTTACTTAAGTAGTTGAATGGGAGGCAGCATGTAGTCGTATGGAAAAAAAAGTATATGTCATGTTATTTAGGAGGTGTGGTTCTTGAACTTGAAGTTGAAAGAATAACGAGTACTTATACAACATATAACGGGGGGGGGCGATAGGAGGAAGGGACGTTTCTATGACAACATCAGAACAGAATGAGGAAAGCAATAAGGGGGGGAGGCAACACCGGGACGGGCACGGATTGATGGATTTTGAATACGAAGTATTTCCCTGCCATTAGACTGTAGGTCCAAATTATTCGGTTCCAACACGTTCACTCATTTGCGTCTTAGACAGTACTACTCCACTGCCGGCAAGACAAGATAGTAACGAACGGTGTGTCTATGAAGACGGCCGCGGGACTATTCACCCTACTACAACACGTCGAGCACGATTATGCGTTTCATCTAATAATAGATACATTTTCATCGTCAGTTCCAGAAGCAATCCCCCAGTTGCCTCCTCATTTCCCTGCATGATCTATCAGCCTTATTCTTGTCCTGTGCGCAAAACTCCATTAACTTACAGGCTGGCGCAGGTGTTGGGGAACCTTTTTGGTTAGGGTACAAGGTTATGGATCCTTCACAACGAAGACCCAACTTTTTTTGAAACTGCAAGTAGTTCACATTCCATCTGATTTTCCTCCTTCCTTGAGAAAAGCGTTCGAAATCTTACAAACAACAAACAACCTAAGAACAACATGATGTAAGCAAATGCATCCAAAGAAATAATGGAGATTCAACAGATTGAGGGTGGATTATAGCTATATGTAGTACCTGCCGGTTCGCTTTTGCTCAGTTTCCGTCTTTTCAATTGCGAGACCAGAAAAACTTCCCCGTTTCCTCGTGAGGACTGCCTTACTGTTCCCTCGTAATGGTCGCTACGGAAGGATCTAATTTCCGCTTCATGTCTGCCCCTCAACGTCGAAGAGCACGCGGACAAAAGTCTTATGCCGTCTGTGAGCATGTCCAGCTCACCACCACACCAAGAGGCATGAAGATCTTTGAAATCCTGATAAGTGAGATTAGCTACCTAGAATGAACATCTTCTTCTTCTTCTTCACAAAATCACTATGTTCTTGTTCATCATAATATATTCCATAACAATTTGCTTTGTCGCTAACTACGCTAGTTTCTTCTACTTACAGTAGCAGATTGATCCTGTAGATGATAAGGTACCACAGGATAGCAACACCGCGCCGCGTCCTCGCTAGAACCTGCTTTTTCGAGCCAGTTTGCCCATCCTAGAACCGCAAATTCACCGCCAGGCGTCTTCCAATTCGATGTCCGCGATAGGACTTTTGGCAAGACGACGCTACTTACTGGTCCTCGGAAGTGTCCGATTAGAATGGAGTAGTTTTTTAATAAAAGTAGATCGTGGTCGGTCCCAAGAGGATTTGAGTCATCTACTTCTACCAATTGTAGCTTAGTGAAGAATGCCCTACAGTTGTAGTGAAGATGTATGGTTCTGGTATTTAGTAACCTGAGTTTGATCCTAAGGGTTCTCTTCTTGTTTTCGCTTATAATGTCGGAAGGGCTATACGCTAGAGGTAAAAACTAACCGGTTGTTTTTTTTAGTGCTTTGAGCGCCGCTGGACCTAAACCTCAACCCTATAAAAAGGGAAGAAGCCAATCTAGATTTGCAGCACACCTCAACATAATGGGGAAATACACAAACAGCCTGTTATGGGAGGAGGTTACTTAATTATGATCAGATGCTTTTTGTTTTAGTCGCATACTTGTAAGCGACTTAGGATATTCATCACGTGCTACCTTTCTCCTTAAGTAAATTATTTATGCATCTCAGCCAGAATTTGCCGGACAGATGGCCACACTCAAGAATTATTTTCGCTCAATCCATAGCTTTATACCTCAACAAAGGAAACGCGCAAGTAAATTAAGAAACACAGAGGCGCAACACAGACAGAAAAGCAGTTTTTTAGGGCGGCAGCCCAATTAGTTTTTGTGTGGAACACGGACAAGGAAGAGGCACAAGAAAGAAAGCATGGGACTCCACATCTTCGGTAGCAGCGTTCGCTAGATCACCCAATATGTTCGCACGTGTCGTCGTACTGCTTGGGTGTTTTGTGATGGATTATGTGTTTTGTTGTTGTGTAATAAGGTGGTGATGCAAAATGAAATACAATGTAAGACATATAAATGATGACAATTGTTCATTTTAGGTAACAGTAGCAATGAGATGAAAAATGTAAGACATATAAATGATGACAATTGTTCATTTTATGTAACAGTAGCAATGAGATGAAAAATAGTAGTCATGTTGCAAATTATGTTGTTTGTCTGTTCATTTAAGAGTATGCGAAAGTATGTAATAAGCCTTAACATTCCACTGCATCGCAAAATTGTTTAATTATATTTGTTATGTCTAGGGACTATAGCATGAAAATCCAAATAAGGAGCTAATACTGGATTCACCTTTTGAATCCAAACCAGGAGGAAAGAAAGATGAAGAAAGAGAGAACGACGGAAAAGAATTACATAATATACCCAGCTATATATATGAACAGATAATAGGAAGACAATTTTGAACAAACATTATATCAATGGACATAGGCTAGGTATTTATGGGCTTAGGCTTAATTTATTCAGCTCTTTCGTGATGATGATGTTCTGCAATGTATTGCCCAGGTATGCCAGCAGAGGTTTGACTCTGGCATGTAGAGTTCCACTTTCGCCAGACTTAACCCAAGACAGGTGATCAGCTAGAATGTACAGCACCAAAGGTCACGCGGTCCCGCACCGCATTAGCTCTCTTCTTGTGAATGTCCTCAGTTGCTTTTTTGGCTTTGCTCGCATTCAGGTGATAGGTCAGCGGTTTCATGAGCGTAGTATGCCACGTCTTGTAGATGAAGTGCTGGCATGTGTTTGTTGGTCGTAGTACACTAGCATGATGCTCAGGTAGGCAGCACCAAGTACAAGACGAGTGACACGCGGGAGGACGGTACAGGTTGAATGAGATATCTGCGCATTCTATCGTAGCAGCATCGATGGACCAAGAGGTAGCTCCAGCACAACCAGGCAGGGTTTCCTTATGATGTGCGTGCCCGCAAGGTCGAGGCGGCAAATTGATGTAGATGTAGAATGTTGCACCACATTGACACAAAATCTTCATGTGTGGACGTTGGATGATGTTCAATTTGTGGCCATCGTTTTTCATACGGACGTAGGAAGTGCTGGCCGGAGAAAGGTGATGCTCGTATGCTATTATCTTCTCGCTTTTCCTCTTTATTTGTACTTTTGCATATGCTTCGACGGATGCAGTTATCAATGGAGTGTCCATTGTGTCACCCCTGAGGCCTAGCATGTTAGGCCCTTCAGCAGAATCTAGCGCGAGGTTGAAAACGACAGTAGACCCTTCTATCGGACCTCCTGGTGATGCCTTATATGCACAGCGGGAGGTGAAAATCTCGAAGCCCGAAAAGGTCTGCTTAAAGATTCGGGAGCGGATGTTTTGGTCTAGTATGTGTGGAACCAGCTTGCAGAGTGAGCGCGTAAGTGCCTTATTTTCTAGTGAGATAACCCTAATCCAAAGCTTCTGGGACAGGAGGTTAAGGCCGCGTCTGTCCTCTTCATAGGTAGGGCACTGTTGCACCGCAATTACCATGTGAAGGAGGCCGGACAGAGCAAAAGTCGTAATATCACTGTTGGAAATACTAAGCCAAGCTGGGTGCAAAAATGACAAGACTAAAAACCAGCAGTCACTATTTAGGGCTTTCTTGCTCCGTTTTTTGTCAGCATACTTAGGCCCAGGGGCAAGGTTTGCTGTTGTAGGGCGACGCTGTGCTTTATTTATGTAGCTGCTACCCTGCCCTTTATCGGGGCACCAGGCTGTACTTGTAGGGGCTGTATAGAGGCACTGCAGTGACCTCTCAACAAGCTCCGCATTTAAGAAAACATAGTCTTTATCGGGGAGCAATGCTTCAGTTCGTGCGTCGTTGTATTGGTAGTAATTGTTGGAGGGTTGGTTTATCAAGATGGGCTGTAGGTTACCCCCATGATGACCCCGCGCGTGTTCCATACTTTCTACGTTAATTTATACTAGCGCCCCGCGTTGATATCTACTTGCACTGCAACTTACTATTTTTTGAAAGATGGCATAAGGATGATTAGCTTACTCATATAAGGTTGTCTGTTATTGTTGCGAATGATTGCTAGGTGACTTATTGGGGAAAGTGTGACTTTTGAGGGGGTAGCGTATTGAGTATGTTGTGTGTGTGCTTATAGAAAGGAAGCAAGAACTACCGACAATTTCATTTAAGGTGCATCACCGACTTATTTACACCAAGGTGCGTCTCCGATATAACCTACATTAAGACCGACATCGTCCATGCCAAAGCAGCCACTTTTTTAACTTTCTTTAGCCGTGTCTTACTTTTCTTTATTTTTCTTTTCAGTGTGGCACGAGGTAGGTCACTTTTTCTTTTTGCACGGAGCTTAAGGCGGACGGGGACGGGCAAATGGGTTATATTTAAAATTCTAGACGCGCTTACTTAGCTCGAGGGAGTTAGCACAATGTTACTTACGTTAATGCTTTTGAGTATACTCAAGAAGTTTGTGAGTTTAGCTCTGTAGCCTTCTCTATATCCCCACTTAGGTTCCCAGTGTCTTTCCGCGATGACGTCAAAGCTACGCGCCATGGTCGGTATAGATAGAGCCCGCGAAGTACGTAAGTAAAGCTCACAAATATCGTATAAGAAAAACAAGAAAAAGGAGTTATTCTTATATAGTCGAATAGCAGAACCGCAAAAACTGGAAAAGTGAGTACTATCATGAACACACGAGCGAGGATCTATGTACTTTTCTGTTTCGAAAGCAAAAAGGCCATCTTTTGAGTAGTTTTTGAAGTACATACTACCGTGAGCACAGAAGATCTCCAAGTCCAAGAATATGGCGTAGTGGCCTGCAGATTCTGGCTTGATCGTAAGACCTGTTTGGCCATAGATCAGGTCGAAAGGCAGTTCGGATGGACTGAGTACGTCATCAACGAAACGCGCAGTACCCAGGAACTTTCCCCGGCTCGCTATAGGGAGAGAACTCAGGAACTCCTCTTCAAGTGGGCATAATACGGTATCAGCAATGGAATTGGAAGCCGGGCCACCCATTGGAATGCCAACACTTTGCCTTAGGGTTCTCCCAAAGACATACACGAAGTTGTACTCGATGCAAACACTCACCAGCTGCGTGACGTCGGCAACGGTAAAGAATACCATACCGGCGGGCTTCTTCTTGGGGATGGCCTTGTATTGGTAAGCGAATTTGCAGGAAACGTGTACGCCAATAGCTATGATGTTTTGCTTCTCGAAGCATCGCTTAACTTGGCGGCCAACAATTTGCGTCATTACGTCATGCTTGAATTTGGTGAACATGTCACTGAAGTCGCCCTTGTGCATGACGTGGAACCGCGACTGCTTGAATTTGTCGATTGCACCACGAGAATCTTTAACGGAAAAGCCGGAGGGTAAGCATGAGCATACGTTATCCAAGATGCAGCGAAGGTACTGCTGCGGGAGCGAGAGCAAGGTAGTATTAGTAACCGAGCAAACCGGGCGGAACTTGAATTCAGGGTCCTTATGCACTTTAGGCGGGGTATGTATCGTCGGGAGGTTCTTCTCCAAGTCGATGCCTTTCATACAGGACGGCAGCTTCCGTTTGATAATATCCAACACCTCGGCGGGTGTGAAAGAGACAAGCTCGTATCCACGTCCTTCAGGCGTGGGTAAGAACCTAAAAGTACTGTCCAGCTCGATATCACGAACAAGCGGCGCATTAAAAAGGTGGCACCCAGGATGTTGCACTTGGGCAGGAGCTATGTTGTCGTAATGCAGTATAGGCGGGACCTTGATAGGCGAGATGTAGAGCGTCTGCTTACTGCGACTGTGGTTCGCCATATGTGGCGTAGAGATGGCGCCACTAGATTCACGCGCAGGACGGTAGATGCTTGAAGTTGCCGGCATGTCAGTCGGCATAGGAAGCGACCCAGTTTCAAAATCGGATCGCATGAGTGCGCATCTGTGTGGTCTTGCGTATTTCCGGAACTGAGTATACTCAAGGACATTCTTCGTACTAATAACCCATAATAGCACGGAGGTAACGAACTCACTCTTATTGCATAGTAGGTATGCGTGGCCATTAAACGTGTCTGCTCGCGATAGCACGGGGTTTATTAGGAACTCGGACTTCTGCAGGATGGAATCTGGAAGCATAGACCGTTCCCAAGGAAAGATAACGGTATCAGGTCGAGACGTAGTGACTTGGCGGCGAGCAAGGTTGTAGTTCTGGTTGATGATGTGGCAACCACGCATGCCATATCCAGACCGGTAACGATCGAAAGGCTGCCGCGGACCATGGACCGGGGGAGTAGGTGCAGCAGGATCAATATATGGTAGGACATAGTCCTGCATGTCGTCAAGCTCTTTTTCGGTTTGTGAGCGATCGACATCAGCGAGAGCTTGGCTAAGGACCGGATCACTATCATACTGCTGGGAGGAGCGCGATGCGAAAGCGGCAGCAGTTTCAGCTTTATCGAAATTCGGGACGAGGGAGCAAGATGGCAGCTGGCGTTTAACTCGGTCATTATGTTCGTGCAGGTCAAAGTACTCGATGAGGCCAGCGGCATCAGCAATCAGCAAGTCGTAGAAAAGGTTGCAGATGAACCACTTATTTCGGATTTTATCCATCGGCGTAAGCGCAAGGTATTTGGAGATGCGGTCGAAAAGTTGGTAAAATTCATCATGGTTATCACCAGCATGGCCATCCCAGGAAAAATCCTCGTCCAGTTGAAGGGTGTCCAGATGCTCGCCAATAGCTGTCCGGATCAATTGTACCAATTCCGGGCTGTATTTTGGATTGCCTTTGATCCGAGACATAAGCATCTCCATGGAGAACTTTTCAGAAGTGCGGAAATTTTGTAGGAGCAGGTGCTTCTTCATCCTGAAGATCGTAGTATCTGCATCTGGAAGTATTTCTTCCATGGAATCCACAGGAATGCAAAGGTGCCCAAGACGGAAGCACGAGGCCGGCAACGTAGTGGAGAGCGATCTACAAGGACATCCCTTGGTGTATACATGATCCAAGGCTTCAGCACCAAGCTTGCCGCGTTTGTAAGTATTGAAGCGGAGAAGCGGTTGATTGTAGGCCCAAGCAGTCATATAATTGTCCAGCAGGTTGTATGATCTGAAGGTGTTCGTAAAGCTGATCTTCTTCATCAGGTTGTTGTGGTAGCAGAGGATGATCGGCGTCCGCAGCTTCTCTTTAATCTTGTAGTAGTAATCAGTAGTTGAGAGAAATCGTGACTATGCTTAGTGTGGGTAAGATGTTTGCAGGAGTTGCTTGGTGAAACTCACTGTACAAACCTACGCAACCACGTTTGTTGATTCTACTTGAGTCTTTTGGTTCAGTTTAATTAGCATCGAACTAGGTGATCCAACTGGTGAAAGGAAGATTTTAAGAATGTGGTTGATCTTGCCTTTGATATTTCAATTCAGTAAAGTGGATTTTGGTTTTGATTCGGAAAATGTGAGGAAATACTAGATCTTTAAGTGCCACATAGTTTTAGAAGAATATTTGTTTGTTTGGGCGGTACAGTCAACGACGGCGGCGACTCAAGTTCTGATGCAGACTGTTAGAATGTAGCTGAAATTACAACAAGCTGTGCATTCTAATCAAATTCAGGTTACCAAATACCGGAACCATTCAGAAGAATGCCCTACTTCATTCTCAGTTGTAGATTACTCACTTGATGGCGCGCGCGTGAATCTATTCGCCGACCTGCCACCTGATATTTCCCTGACGACTTCTCATTGATTCTCACGTTTCGAATGTTGCTGAGTTTAGCTTTAGTCCTCATAAGTATCCAGCTGCTGCGAGAGCCACTATTACTCCAGCGATGACAACGCCACCTTTGCCACCCTGTTCCTTAGCGCCATGCCCAGCATGCTTCTTGCGCTCCCGCCTCGGAGAATCCTTCTCCAGCGCCATCTTGTTCCTACGTAGTTCAACTTCAAGGACCCTCTTCTTCAAGAAGCCTTCTTGTTCTTGCTGATATAGGAGATGAAAGTGAAGGAGAATGTAACCAAGGATGACTACTGGTGCTTGTCGTAGTTGTAAGTTGACACACACGAAAATGGATGGAAAGGATTAAAAATATCGTATTTACTCTCTTCTTGGGTGAAACAAGGTAATTGTTTGTCCATCACTCTAAGCGATTATGGTCACTGCACTTTTAGGTATAATAGAGTTACGCACGCATCAAGCTTCTGAAACTGATGTCTGACATATTTCTGATGGATGCTCGACGGAACTTTTCAGTTCATCTGTTCATCTCTCTACTCATTATGATGCGCATCTTCATGCTGCACCGTGCGCACTCACAGGAATTACATATAATAACACCAGATGGATCCCTCCGAAGAAGCAAGTCAGGAGCACCACGTGTCTTTTGAAGTCGGCTCCACATGTGTTGGAGCTGGTTTTTTTTTGGATTTGCATTCTACTCTCTTGAATATTGATAAGGAGTCTCATTCTTAATATAGAGCCAGAGTCTTCCTTTTCGGAGTTGTGGTTACTGTTGCGGCCAGGAGAACACCAAACTTAGAAAATCCCCAAGGTAGCCCACTGGCTACGGTTCTGAGTGATGTCCTTCACCATCCTCCGCGATGTCGCCCCTGTCCTGTGACTGACTTACTAGTAGCGCTAATCTGCACCAGCACAGGGTAAAAATAAGAAGACAAATTAGTTGGCTTTTGTTGTTGTTCTTTAATGAATATACCTCAGGCTTAAAGCCCTTCATCTTTGTTTTTATAGGTCTCCAATTTAGTTTTGATTTATAACGTAGATAATTATGGTATCTCCTTTCCACATATATCTCCACCTGGCCGCAACAGTTACAGTTCTTTCATGATCAGTTCCTTTTTGTATGTTTGCCAGGGTATGAAGATTTTTAGTCATAAGGAGTGGGATGTTCAAATTGAAATTCGTATCGCGATCGTGATGCAATCGACTGTGCACTTGACCTCGTGTTTTGAATTCGAAATCGCGGCCCTGGGATCTTCCCTGTACAACTGGGTCGTCTTTGGAATTAAATAGAAGATACAGTTCTACTTATGGAACTGGGTCTGGGAGATGCCTGGATTTGTGGAAGTCATAAAATCAGAAGTGCGGGTCTACTCATATCGCGTTGTACTTTTGCCTCAGGTCCTCGAAGAACTTCTGCACTGCCTGTTCTCCAGTCAGGTTTTTGTTTTCCTGATTCCACTTTCGTCCCATTAGCTGACTTGTTACGTAATCGTCTGCCTTTTGCTCCAGGACTCCATGTCTCTCCGCCATCCCCACATCACTCCACTTTTCATTCAAATACTTGCACTCCCTTTCCACCAAGCTGCAGAATAGTACTATCAGCATTCGAAACTCCGTGTGAGACTTGTACTCAGCCGCTATCTTCTTCTTATCCAGGTTGTAGCCACCTTCGGTTGAGACTGGTGAGAGAAATTTGATGCCAACCTCGAGTAAGAAGCTTTAATACCTCCTGCTCTACGCCAACATCACTTCCCCGTCATCCCCTACGACTTGTTCATCGCCACGACTGCCCCCCTCGTCGTCATCCGCCATCATCTTTTTCTGCCCTGTTGAGTCTCGAAGTGCGGCCTCAGCCACTAAGTCGTCCAAGGATCCACTCAATTTCGCTTTCAAGATATTCAGAGCGCTGAACAGGTTTCCAGCTCTTGCAGTGCGGTAAGAATGGCAATGCAAATACTTCTCTGTCTTCAGTTTCGCCATTCTCCCGCTCTCAAATGTAATAATAAACCCTTCCATGCAGTCGTCCTTGGCAGTTTTTCGAAATTTCAACAACTCCTCAAGGGTACTAATTGATGGAGATGATGCGTTATTTGACGATGCTGGTGCCGAGATGAAGGACGACGTGCTGGTGTCTTCAAATGTAATCTCGGGAGACAAAAGAACACGCCGCGCACTGCCATAAAGCTGGTACCACTCATGCACCACTTGAGTGAACACCGTGGTGGATAGTTTGGTCCTCCACCTCGTCGTCCGGAAGATCCTCCTTGAACCAGCACCCTCTCGACGACTTGGAGGACTTTCTTCCTTTGTTCTCGACAGCATCACTCGTAGTTCGGAAGTGTCTTCACTGCCTTCATTTGCTCCACGAATGAACTCGTTCTCTTCACCGACAGAAGCTGCTCGAAGATGAGATGTTAATTGTGAATCAACACAAAAAACTGCAGAGAAAAAGGCAGGATCGTCGCAATTCATGACCATCATCAAGATCAATGTATGATTTCAGCAGGTAGATCATGTTCTTGCTGCAATTCTCCATTCGCTTTCGCGGTGGATAGTTTGGTCCTCCACCTCGTCGTCCGGAAGATCCTCCGTTCTTGAAAGCGTTATCGTGTTGTTAATCGGGCCAAAATGGGTCTCGTACATCTACTCTTTAGTTTGCTCCGCAGTAAAGTAGGCACCAGTCTCCTCAGAGCGAATGTGTAACAGGACAAGATTGGTGGAGGCGTAGGGCACGACGATTTGGTTATCAGGCGACACCAACTCGAAGACCGCTGCCAGCTTACGCCTAAACGCGTCCAACAAAAAGGCTTGCAAAGGCGGACAGTTGTCGCAGACTTCTGTTGCCATCGTTGCTTGTGGGGACTCGAATGACATCTTCGATTTCGCGCGGATCCTCACGTCGCCGCCCTTGTTCACTCTTGAAAAAGGGATAAACCGGATGATGGAGCCGTCACTCTTGTCCTGAATTCTTACAATCTTTTGGCTGCTCAAGTCGTCCACTAACCAATTTTTGGTTTCCCCCACATTGAAAAACTTGTTCAAAAGAAGGTAGCGCTCCCAGGAGCCGCCCTCCTCTTCATCTTGTTGATAACGTATAACAAAGCCCTCGCATCGGCATCTCCCACGCACCATACTCCGCAAACATAGCGGGACCACACGTCCTTCGGTAATCGTAGAGAACGACGCTTTTTCCTTCTACATTGCTCGCCACTCTGCTAAAAGCCAGAAGATTCTTGTCCACTATCTTATCTACTTCTTCTTTGCTCTTCACAAAGAATCCTGGTCCAGCACGCCTTGTCCGTGTTCAGATCCACTCACTACAGCAACTTTAACGTTATTTTGGTCGTCCTCCTTCCCAGACGAGCACGTCCTTTTTACCAGATTTGCTACCAGAACTGCTATCCTCCGACTTCAGAATGTCTCCAGCGGAAGCGGCCTTCTCAGCGCCACGCGACCCACAGACGCACTCGCAAAGACTCATTCTGTTGATTTTTCTTATTCTACGTCTCTCTCGGGAACAATATTTACAAAGTTCGACGTTGCACTTGTTACTTTTCAAGAATCTATTCAGGGAGCACCAGTTTCGAGTTCGAACATTTGAAAATTATACTACATTCATAGTATACGAAAACGAAGGAGGCCTAAATCCAAAATACCACAAGCACTGATGAAGATGAAAGATGTGTCCGACAAGGGGTTTTCAAAATAAAACGTCAACAAAAATAAATTCAGGATTTCCGAGTCAGGGATTGTGCGTGGGACGAGTGATATTTATATTATCTAAGAAGTTCTCACAATCTCTCAGAGACGAAAGACTAGCAATATCGACGGAGTACATCCGAACATACTTTTGTCAGTCAGAAAATTCACTCTTACACAATTTCATCTTGCTGTTTCACTCAAAGGGACCTCAGAGACTCATACATAGCATAAGGATGCGCTTTCTCATGGTGACAGACGCCCGCTTTGTAGTTTGTCTCATCCTGGCGCGCACAGACTCTCATCATGAAAGCTAAATTGAAAACAACAGACACGACCTCCAATTTGGATTTGGATTTGGAGATTTCCCAAGTGTCGAGAAGAAAAACAATCTGCCTCCGCATGTGCCTTTCGGAATCCCTTGCGCATTGCCGCTGGAACGAAACGTCTCACGCTCCAACACAGAGCAATATAATGGAGCGCGTCAAATCTACCTCGTTGATTTTTCTGCGGAATCTACGCGATTTCAGGTAACAACGATAAAGCGAGAGGTCGGTATCGTTTCTTTGTTGGTCACTGGTAAATCTCGTCACAGAGGGAGTGCGAATAGCGAGAGAGCCCCAGGGTCTTGCGTCGGCGCAAGCTGAATGACTTTTTTCATTCAGACACAACACTACATATATCGGCTGGGCTAGCTTTCTGGTGTACCTTCATTCACCTCCATACTCTAAAAGGGTCTCGCAACACACTATCGTAGCGCACTGATCGATATCTAGATAACAGTAGGCACCCGCCGCGTCGCTTGCATAAACAAATACAAAGATTTGCCACGTAAACAGAAAATCCTGGCTATCCAGTAGGTACGGCCATGACTTGCTTCAGTACAAAAGCACGCAATCATAAGATGAACCTAACCAAAAAGTGAGCGTGTGTGTCTTCTTTTTTTATATAATGCAAAAATGTATGTTTTGGTTTTCTATCTACTTGCGTTTTCTTTTAAGTAAGTGCGACTCATGTGCACGCAGGATCGACATCTAGATAGCAGTAGGCACCCGCCGCGTCGGCTGCAGAAACATATGCCCAGATTTGGCATGTAAATAAGAAAACCCTGGCTATCCAGTGCCGTCCTTACTTCCACACACATCAGGACGCAACTATGTATAAGAAGAACCTCACCGAAAATTAACGTATTTCCTGCGTGCCTCAAAACAAAAGGTCCTGCTTGGACCCTCTGCACCCTAATGTTTTTCAGATATCACAGAAGAAGAAGAAGATGTCACCACTCCACAGAAATTCTAAACCCTTATTTTGTATGACGATTCCCGAGTTAGAGCTGCAGTAGTTTAATTTCATCAACGTAGTAGAAGGTTTCAAGCGCCAGGCCTGGAATTCACGAACGATATCAGAAATGGATGGAGTTTCCTCGTCTGTTATTGAAAGCCTACTGTCGTCTGTCACTTTTTCCTTTTTCCTATCGTCTTTACTTACTTAGCTTTTCGCAACACGTTCAAAGACAAACTCTGGCTCCGAAATTTTCGTCGCGAAGTCTTTCTCCTCTGTGTGCTGCTTACGGCCTTTGCCTTCTTTTCGGATGCTGTCTTGGATTAGAGTTTAATGGTGATGGTGATGGTGATGGTGACATCGTGACATGGTGCCTGGTCAAGGGGTACTACATCTCAAGAATCAGTGTCCATTGTCTTCCAGCTTAGCAGCAGAAGTACTACAAGAAAGTACTCTACAACTGTGGTCACAACTATGAAGCGAAAAAGTGCAGTCACACTCAAGAAATTGGCTAGGATTTAAGTAGGAAAGTAGCCACTTTTTTTGAGTGTGAGTGCACTTTTTTCTTTCATAACAACTTATTCTACAGGTGACAGGAGGTGTACTAGAAGTAGTAGTTATACCTCGAAATTTTTACTTAGCAGCATGCATTGCGTTCTTAAAGAGAAGAAATGTGAACAATGACAATGATTGTGAATGGCATCTTCCATAATTGCACGTCGCGCAGGTCCTTGATGTACTGCTTTATCACGTAGAGCTGCTTGATAGCATATCCCACTTTTGGTGCGTAGGAGTCCGCATTCTGGATCACCTGCACTTGCTGCGGCGTCTCACTCAGCTCGTTTGCATATTGAATTCCAGGACGCTTAAGGTTACCTGATGTCAGGGATTCGCTGTCTCAAACTACCGTGTCAAGAATGCACGTCCTCGAATGGACTAGTCACGACATGATAAGAAAGTCCCTGAAGATTAAGATTGGACAAAGAACTCAAAGCCATAGACATAGTGTGTTGTGATTGTGAACAATATTTTTAAAGTAAGTAGTACATCTATGAAACAAGTTGTCGACGCTCATGATAATTTGTCCCAGAAAGAGGCTTTGCTGTGCTTCCTCTTGGCGCGTCATCTCCGCAAGTGCTTCCAACTGCAAACACTGCTTCTCTTGTTCCTCTAGTTCTGCCTGCAGAGCTGCTGTCTTGTTCGTCAACGCCAAAACTTCCATCGCTTTCTCCTTGCGGTAGTTTGGGAGTTAGAGGTAGATTTAGGAGTTTAAGTTCATCTTCTCTTCTTCGAGGGACAAATATGATAGTGGGGTATGATCAAGAGAAGTGTGATGATGAGAGGTATGACGAGGTGATCATCATGACGTTGAGCGCATCAGACATGCATACGCATAGGCTACAAGAATAAGAGCTAAGATATTTGAACCGACATTATTCCAAAAGAAGTGAATAGCGGCAACATCCATCCATAATGATATTCATTCCTCAAGTTCTCGTTGCCACTCTCCGCTGACTGCTGACTCTCCATCAAATCCTTGTGCGCCGCTTCGAGAGTTTCATGTCTGGAAGTGGATGGAAGAGCTTTTTCTAGTACTACCTACATTTTTTGGTAGAAAAAAATATTTCCTGAGTGGGAAGAGCTCTTTTTAGTAGTACAACTAGATTTAGTAGAAATAATCGATTACCTCGTCACCAGGTCTTGAATTTCGCTATAGTCGTCCGAATTTTCCTTCACCAGCTCTAGAAATTCTTCGTACTTCAAATTCTTCAACACATCCTCTTCTAGTTCGAGGCAGAGGTTTTGACTTTCGTCTAACCTTTTCTGCAGTTGTGATATTTCTTCCTCCTTCTGTTGGATCTGGCTTTGCTCTTCTTGGGCCCTGTGGGAGGAGTGGGTTCTTGTACTAGGAATTTTAGAGATGAAAGTATCCACCAGTAACAGGATTCATTTTGCGCAGAAGTGTAAGCAGACCTCTCTACAAGGTGGACTGACAAGGAGAAGGAGGTGATGAAGATAGTCTCTAAATTAATAATCAGTTCTGGCAACGTCGATGCGCACGTGAGAGTTTGAGATTAGTACCTAGTCTCAGCTCTTCTTCTCTTCGCCTCATTGTCTTGCAAAAATTTGTTGAATTTGATGAGCTGCTGCTGCAACTGTAAATCCTTAGCTCGCAATTGAACCTCCTTCTTTTGGAATGCCTCTTCCTCCTGCGAAAATCGTGTCTTCTGCGCTTCTAATGCATCCTGCACCTCATACCTGGAAAAAGCGGAAGCGAAAGGTCACAGCAAAACGGTCAACGAGGTTGTAGTTGAACTACAGTTGAACTACTGTTAGTTGTATACGTGTAACGAGAGGACATCAAGGTAGGACTAGGATTGCAATTCGTTCATCTGGTATCTAAACTCTATGTATACAACTGAGAAACCAGCTATGATGTATAAGGCGTCTTAGTACATTTGCCTCCTCTTTTCGAGTAGACGCGTCGCAGGTGACACATTCTCGAAGAGCAGCTGATGCGGTACTTCGTCCCCCATCTTTTGCTTTTTCTTCCCTACTAGTAGTATTAGCTATAAAATAGGATCAGGGAGATACCAACCTCCCATGACAGGAGGACTCCTGTCCGGACAACAAAAACTGTGTTCTTGTGTAGTCCGTCTATTTAACTTCAAAGATGATGGTGGTGGGTTTGGGACGTTGTTTTTACGAGACTACAACCACTACCCAATCGTGAGGAAACTTAAATGCTTCTGCCTCCGAGCGAGGCGGGGTCATCGAGTATCGAAAAAGTCAGCGATCCGCTCTACTTGTTTTTGAACTGAAAGTCAGAATGCACGAAGCGATCGAAAACGACCTAGAGGGCCCTCTACCTCCTGGCTGTATTATCTGGCTCACATTCAAAATCACGACTCCGTGGAGGTCCACAACTTGTAAAAGTCGTCCAAATTTCAAGAATTGAAATGTGAAGATGTCTACCAGTTCTTGTAAGAACTAAAAAGTAATATTCATTGTGACTACTTATTAAGACATGCTGATTCTTCAAATGTTCGTTGAAATCTTGGTTGCTTCATCTTTGTCTTATTCGCTTCCCGTGACTGAAAAGTCGATCGACGGATCCGTCGGCTGCGATTCTACTAAGAATACCGTGTCCCGTCGCGCCTGGCCAGGGACCACACGCTATGCCTTGTCCCGTATGCGTCCTCGCTTAATACGACTGCCGCTTGAGTGTAGCGCCAGCCCTCAAGCGAGCCTCGCTTGATGCGATCGATCCGCAGGACGCACGAGCACGTCTGCTCGATGTCATTTATATGCCTGCGACGCGTTTTCGCTTGCCTACCGCGGTGTGCAGATATCTCCACTGCCCTACGACATGATCACGGGTCTTGATCCAAACGTCTCCCAACTCTTCGGCTGTTCGTGGAACTCTCTAATGGCGCTTGAGTCATCCTCCAAAGCCAATTCAGCCTGTGCTGCCCGTTCCTCCTCCGTCGTGGTAGACGAGAACCCATGAGCGTTTAGAAACTCCAAATAACTCTGTAAATTACTGCTGCGCGAAGCAGACACCCCAGCTCCACCCGCCGCTCCTTTTATCACTTCGCCCGTCACGGGATTCACAATGCTATCGCCTGGAAGAGGGGCTTTGCTCGCTTCAGAGCCGTCGACTGGCTGTCCTGCATTGCTCAGCGTGATCGGCTCGGGTGGTGTCGGGATCGGCTTGCCTAGGCATCGGTGATTTGCGATGTCCGTGCTGAAATTTAGGTCGTACTCTTGCCACTCATCGATCCCCATGTCCGCAAATTTCAGAGGCTTCGCCACTGTATGCAGCTGGATTCGTCGTGGAGAACCGGGCGCGGCGCGGATGTTAGAAGGACAAGAAGCGTTATTTACTCCCAGCATCAAATCAATGATAAGGTGTTAGGTAGAGAGACATAGAGAAACTGTAATGACATTGACGACCATAGTTAGAGTGCACTACTAGTTGCACCTCCAGTCCTTTTTTCACTGTTATTGTTATGACCGTCCATAAAAAACGGCAGAAACTTCGGCTCTTCCGAATCCCTCGCTGGCTTCAAATCTGACGCAACGACTTTGCCGCTTTCGCCCTCTTTGGTCCAAAACCTCGCATCAAAGTGGACGACTGGAGCTTGCTTATCCGTTATATCCCTAACTAAAATCCTTACATCTTTGACGGGAAAGGCGAACTCGAACTCAGGATGTCTAATTTCAGGGAGACGACCGGAAAAGCGCTCGTAGGGAGAGCGGCAAAAATAGCGGTCCTCTCGCATATTGTGGGTGTAGACGTAGTTTTTTGTTTGGTAATTCACCCCAACTGCGTCGCCAAAACAGTCGAGGCACTTCACAAAGAGCTCACCGTTGGTGCCGGGTTGGGCCATTTCTTTTTGAGGCACTTTAACACAAACAGCTCACGACCATGATACAACTATCTGTGGTCTTCTTGGGTACTAGTGTTCTCTGGAAGTTCCTAAGCATGAAGATTCTACCAGCTTTCCTTGAGCAAATGAGAGAAGACTAGGTAGATAATATGGTCAACCATCAATCCAAAGCCAATTATTTAGAAAAACTAAATCTTTTACTTTTCTGGACTTCTGTACATCAGTAAATGGGCGGGGAGTGCACATAACAAGACGGGGAACGTTGTAGAAAGAAGGGAGTCGTGTGAAGTGGCGATTTTGGACCGACGAGCGTGAGCAACAGAAGCATAGTCACGATTTCTCTCAACTACTGATTACTTTGTGTGCATTCCAAGTCCAACGATGCAATTTCAAGCCGATGACTTCTTGCGATAGAGGACAGGCAGCGTCGACTAGAAAATAGTAGCCTTATCGCTGTCGTCGAGCAACACTACAATTATCTCCAAAGCATGCAAATTACAACAAGCTGATCGCTGTAGTTGCGACTACTTGTTGTAAGTAGTAGTACTTCATCTGAATCATATTACTTCGTTGTCATCATGAGATGAAGAATGAGAATCATAGTTCAACCATGATACTAGAGGTTATAACAAGATGTCTTTGAAGATGATCCTTGGAAGATCCATTATGCACATATGGCATATGAAGGTGCATTTACGTCAATATGAATTTGCGTGTAATTAACGGGGAAAATGAGTGGGGAACTTACAAGGGAAATGAGGAACGAGTAAGTAGATGATTTTTGGGGTGATGACTGACAGTTAGTAAGCTTTAGTTTGTTAGTGTTTTTAGTTGGCGAATTTATTAATGATGCGTTTAGAGACTAGAAAAAAAGGCGTGCGCGCAACATCAAGATACTAGGTTAATATTAGTACCGTGTAATACTTCTAGGTGATTATAGCAGAAAATAGGTTATTGCAGAAACGATCGAATTTCATTTGTGGACGATGAATTGTAGATGTTGATCTAATACGTTGCGAGATAATTTGATGTTAGAAGAAGCAATATGCACATACTACTTGGTATACTTCATTTTCTACACGCCTGAGCATACCCTAAACTCTGTACATCGTCTGTACAAGATCAAAATGTAAGACTACGAGGTCGCGAGTGATGTTTATTTTCACATGACAGAACGTGGGGGGTTCGTTCGTTCTTGGAATGATGGAACGTTACGTTTTTACGTCGAGAGAAAGGAAAGTTCTACGTGATGGGATGAAGTGCCGTACTTCACTCTACTATGTTTCGAATGCTAATAAAGGAGTTATGTAATCAGAGACTTCAGATATTTTATGAGTGGTTTGTTTGGGTATGTGTTTTTGTTAACTCACGTCAACATTTTTGGGCATCAAAGGTATAGCGGGGGTTAAAAGTGCCCTGTACGTAGACAGAGGAAAAGCAAGTAAAAATCTTACTAAGTAGGAGAAAATCAACAACTTGAACAAGACGATCTTCTGGTAAGAACTTGATGAAAAAGAACTACAATCTATCAGTGACATCATCGACGTACTACATGTACATATTGGCCTTACACAACATCCAAGCACGACTCGCCACTGAAGTCGAATTGTGCTCGTAGCATGTTCCCTTTGTACCAGTTGCGAAGATACAAGCATTAGCGTCGGCTTTACTCCATCTCGGTCCCCCCCACTGGACCTCTTGCTCCTTGTATTTCATGAGAATACAGGGCAAAAGGGGACCAAAATGATGAGGAAGATGGAAAAAAGCTGACCATAAATGTACACAAAGTCTGCCATCAGAACGATATGCAAGAGGTTAGCGCCAAGAACTGCAAATCCACTGATATTCAGGTCCACTCCATTCTCTGGGGCGAGCTCCGTGTAGCCGTGGGACCTGTCGTGTGAGAGTGAGTGGGTGTTGTATTCAGCCAGGTACAACGTCAGCTACAGTATAATGGATATGGAATACAACAAAGATATAATACTGCATCACCAGTACAATGCTGGAGTAGACTTACACATTTGTAGTCAAATCTTCATCAACAACTACTTGTCACAGGAACTGTATGGTATGGTATGGTATGGTGTGGTATGGTATGGTAGGATGTCAAAAACTTAATAGCAATTCTTACCAGAGATCGTCTCCAGTGTCAAACACAAATAGCAATTCTTACCAGAAGATCGTCTCCAGTGTCCGCGACAATGCAACTAGGAAGACGTAATGCGCTGAAAGAGCGTCGAATTTGCCTGCCAATCTGTTGATCATCCACAACTGAGGCATCGTGGACATAACATCCGTGTAAAGAGATGCAGCCCAGAGAGCATTAGAACCGACAGAAACAGAAGATATTCATCTTGGAGGTCATCTTCTACGACTACGTGTTTCTACCTTTTTTTTAACCCGTAAACAAGACCGACGAGACCAAAGATGCTTCTCCAGAATCCAGATGAATTACGGTAAGCCTTAAGAGCATCAAAGAAAGGGCAGTTGTTCAGATCCGGGTGGATCATGATGGCGGCAATAATACACCCAACCAACGTAGGAGCTACCGGAAAGCTGTCGGCTTGGCGCTGTGGTTGGTTGATGGGCGGGAGTTTTTATGCTTACTCTATTTTCAGCGCGAAAAAAATCCACGTACTAGTAAGTTCTTTCTAAGAAGTTGTATACAAGAACTCAGCTACAACACATTTTTCGGTTACCACAAACACAATCTTGTTAATCAACTTCCATGAAGATGATAAGTAGCCATTTGTTATGCGTTGAAAAAACTACTTACAACTCATGATCATGGCAGCAGGGAAGGGTTGAATACCTGATATGTGTGCGCGAACCTTACCTTCGCAAGGTAGACGATATAGACACACAGAGTGAGTGCGAAGAGATCCGCAAGCTGGTACAGATAATCTCCTGTGCTGTCGGTCGGGATATAACCTGTAGTTCTGGTAGATTTTTGCTTGGTCTGCAAATCAACATTATTCGGGGATCATGTATGAGGATGTACTTCTATGCTACTACTTGTTTCTGATTCAGTGAAGACGAATTCGACGAAGTTATAATAAGCTTAAGCAACCATCCTCGAACAACATCACAAACAGTACTACCAGACAGTTACCTCTCAAAAAAGTCGTTGTTCCAAGGCGAAGGCAAAAACTGCATGCCTGCATCCCGATGCTCATTGCACTGATACCACGCACTGATCTTTGGCAAAGAACTCCAGCTAGCAAACATATAAGCGCAACGCTCTGTGGAAAGGTTGACGTTAAATCTTTTTTGATGATCAAAGCAACTACAGGCACACGTACAGCAAGTCGTATAATCCAATTATTAATGCGTGTGGTAAGGTATTTAGTAGAAGGAAGGATAGTTAGAGTGATAAATAACAATGATCATGTGTAGTAAATCACCAAGGACGAGAATGAAGGGATGGACGGAAGAGAAAACGAAAAGTCGAGTTGTATAACAGAGCAATTTATAAGGTTTCACAGCTCGCATGGCATGGGGTGCATGGATCACATGGAGTAGCATGGAGCTAAAGGGGAGCTTCTTGCGCCCCTTAAAGCTCTGCGCTCCATGCACTCCATGCTACTCCATGCACCATGCGTGCTATAAACTACTCTGGTATAATCATTTAATTACTACGTCGACTACTACTACTAATACTATAAAATACTACTCCTACTTTCTTATCGGTTTCACAGTAAAGGACAGTAGATCAAGTACAGGGTCAATAGGTACTACCTGAATCAAGACGGAGAACGTCAACAGCGTGGATAACCCAATGTCGTGGAAGGTGTACCACAATGCGTAAAAGCCTAGTGCCGCAGAAGAATATATTATCGCATAGTTGAGCTTCATCCTGGTAGCTGCGGTACTGTCATCAGGTAGTGCGCCATGGGATGACAAGACATCATTGTGATTGAAGATGTTCTGATCATTCTGATGCCATACTACTCCTTCTGAAGATGATGGTTCTTCTCCATTCAGAGGTGCTGGTGGAGCTATGATTTCGGCGATATAGCTAGTAGCAGCAAGAGCGGTACAACTGGAGGAACTAGAAGAACTACCTCCAACTTGTACTTGATCCGGATGAATTTTCATCATCTTGCCGGGTTTGGGGACCACGATGTCGTACTTGCTTCTGATGGTTTCGTTGTAGTTCTCCTTCGAAGAAGTTACACTTCTTGTTGGAGAGGTTGTTCTAGTTGTTTTGTAGCTAGAAGTCTCGCCTTCGTTCTCGTTCCCTCTTTTGGTTCGTCAACTGCAGTTGAGTGACCTTCTTCTATTCTACTTGCTTTTCCTACGGATTTTCCATGTGGGTGATCAATCAACACAGAATATGATCATAATGATTGCTCTAGTTGTTCTAAGCCGACGTAAGATGAAAGTCAGTGAAGATTTTTGGTGGAATATACATACACATGATGGAGGAATAAATGAAAGCAATGAATCGATGATGTGGGGTATGCGTACGAGGTACAACTATGAGCTTCATCAATTATAACTACGCAACTCGATGACCTTTCATATTTGCAAACGACGAGATCTCCATCATCACAACTTTCCCAACGAGGAAAACGGCGTCTCTCTCTCTCTCTCGCCCTTTGTGTGGTAAATTCTACGAAAATTGAAAAATGGTCCGTCTCATATTCCCTTCGCGAAGCCGAGAACGAAACATTCGACCCCTTTATTTCTTTCGGAGGCAGAGCAGAGCAATATCTTCTCTTGCTTCGAAGTTTCTTCGTGAGGACCGCTACTTTTCATGCTCGATATAGTCTATTAAGGGTATGGCAGGAGGTTATCCTTCAAACGTTGTCGAGGAACGAAAACTTGAAAACTTCACATGAAGATCCTTGCGAGTTCTTCGAGTCTTGGAATGGAGTTTCGCCCTGGTCAGTATTCCGAAACTGTCGATTGGACTATTTAATGCCGTGCTTCACTTCCGAAGAAAGGCATAATATTCGAATCTTTTGTTTCTTCACTTTAGAAAAAAAGCCTCGCCTCGTCTACTTCTGCATAATACTCCACCAAAATTTCACCGTCCCACAAGTAATCAACAAATCCGACAGGTTCCACGCATAATCCAGACTAGAGTGTATTCCGAAAAAGTGGATGTAGTCTATGACGCCCTCAAAGAAGACACGGTCCAGATTGTTGCCGATACTGCCAAGAACTAACATCAAGATTTCAACGCGGAACTCCTGAAGACAGGAGGAAAAGGTCTTCTGCCACTTTCGTAAATTAAGGGTTGCCAGTTCTTGTGGTGCATTAAGTGGCTCGAGATCTTTTTTGTACTCGTCGACGGAAGCTGTCACAGACGAAAACCGCTTCCACGTCACTATCTTTATCTTATCGCCCACACGGCTCAACGCAATCAGCGAAAGTACACAGCACCAGAGGTTGAGGCAGACACTCGCGAAGGGATACTCCGTGGAAAGAGCCAACGCGCTACCCCGATTTAGGCTCGGCACTATACGGATTCCGACAAAGCCAAAACGCAGTAGTTCAAACGGCTCGACAAATGACAAGTCTGTTTGAGCTTGTTGTCCACGAGCAGCAGTCACCAGAGGCAACGGATTCCGAAGGAGAAACTTGAAACACCAATCTGCGAAGGACAGAGCAACTGCCAGAAAAATCGTCACTCGAGAGTCGAAGTGCAGCCTGAGGATCCGAGGTGTGGTTCCCACCCGTTCTCCTTTTGCCGACACGAGCATGAATTCGCAACAGGACCAAAGAAAGCGAAAGTGACAGGGAGAACGTAGGCAATCATATTTATTCTTAATCATGCAATTGCAATTATGGTTGATAGCAGTACTACTTAGTACTACAGTCATGAACACGATTCAACGTCGTTAGCTTTGATTATAATATATACTCATCGTTGCAATAGACCGGTTGGAAGAGCGTATGATGCCAACATTTTTCTTGCCACTCAGTCTGCGGATGCAAGGAGAAGAAAGACACCCATAGCTGCACAGGGCTATCAAATTTCGATCGGTTTTCTCGACACCAGAAAGAGTATCTGCTCCGGCTTGGAATATTCAAAGACGGCCAATCTTTGTATGTTGAAAACATTGTAACATTGAAATTTCTTGATGTTGCTATGCGCCATGATACGAAATATACGTGTATCCCCTTCTTGTCTCCCCTTCTAACCGACTTGGTCTTGGAAAATTTACTGTTGAATCAATTATGGAGGAGAAAAAAATACTCGATCGATCATTCTCAAGAAATGCTGACAATACCTACCTCAAGTGTGTGTGTACCAGAACCTACTACTATGTACTGAGAGGAATAAGAAGAGACATAACAACCAAAATGCAGCACTTTTGTTTTTGAATCTTTCTAGGAATTTTATCTAAATTCTGAAATTTCTCAAAAAAAAGGCACGATATCAAAAATATGTGTCCTATGGTACCTCCATAATTCATACTTTCTTATACCTATAATTCCTCACATCATATTTACTATGCGAATGAAGACTAAAAGCTGAAGCAGAAAACCAGTCTGGAAACGTCGTGCGCATCTCCAGAATGCAATAAATTGGAAAGCTGCACATCAGGAAATGAATTGATTCGATTTGTTGGCGATAAAAACAAAATTTTTGGAATTTAGATCTTTTTTTGTTTTTATTACCAGTGAATTAATCAGTCACCAGCACCATTGCTATTAGAATACATGCTGAAAGTGAAACAGTTTGTTGTGAAAGCAAAATCTTGAAATTTTGGATTTGGTTTTGGATGAATGAAATTGTATTTAGATTTGTGAAATTGATATGTAGCACGAACCGGTCATCAAAACAACTCGTAGTACTAGTAGAAGATAGCAAAAACTTACTCTCATGCTACTTCGCTCCCAGCGCTAGCAAAACAAAACCACATTGATTTCTACATGCATAGACCTGTTTGTATCTGTAAGCAAGATTCACTTTTGCGCTAGTACACCTACGAACTCGATGAAAATCTCTGCATCTTCATTTTCGCCTCCAGCACCACGGTATCGATATCAGCAGGTGAATATAGTGTACTGGTCTGGCATGTCTACTTGAAGACGACTATGATTTCTTCTAGTCCTTCTACTCGAGTGTTGTATTAGAGGTAGGTTTTTGGTGCTCGCTTACCCCGCTTGTTATGTCTTTCTCCCTTAGGAGAGGCATAAAAAGCGGTAAGAAAAGCACCTTTAACCTACCCTTAATTGTACTTACTCTGACTGTCTGAACCATGCCTCGTAGTGGCAATTGTTAAGAAGCAAGAGGCTACAACTCTCACTTCTTGACTGTTTTTCCTGGTGTTTTAGCTGCACCTCGTCCCGGCGTCGGCTTTCCCGGTGTTTTCGCAGCTCCTTTCGTGGTAGTATCGCTAGACTTCTTACCGCGGGCTGGCGTCGCCGCGTCGCTCCTCTTGCTTGTTGTTGCATCCTTTTTATCCTTGGATGAGGAGGCGTTCTTACTGCTGCTGCTTGTCGAAGTAGCAGTTTTTTCTTCCTTCTTAGAAGAAGTGGTAGTTGTCTTTTCCTTGTCCTTTGCTGAACTAGAAGTAGTTTTCTCCTTGGCATTCTCCTTTTCGACGGCTTTCGCAGCTGCTTTTTTACCAGTTGCAGCTTTGCTCTTCGACGTCTTGTCCTCATCGACGACTGTCTCGTTCGCCTTAGAAAGGAAGCTTAAATTCAGAGTATTGCTATTATTTCAGGAGTAGAAGAGAGAGTAAGAGCCTTTTGGAAGTGGATGCTGACTCACATGTAAGTCCGTTTTGTCTTAACATCAACCTTTGCGTCTTTTCCAGTGGTTTTTTGCTTTTTCGATGGCGGCTCTTCTTTTTCCTTTGCCTCCACTTTAGCTCCTTTGGTCTTCGGATTTTTATCAGTCTTTTTGCTTCCGCCCTGTGCATCTTCATCTGGTGAAGAGTCTGCAGCTTTGTCTTTGGGTTTGGAGCTCTTCATCTTAGAAGTAAGAACAGTATGCACTACTTGAGGTAACGCTGACTGTAAACTGCAACTCAAAACATAGAGCGTTTGTGTGTGTTGTTCTTGAGAACTTGTCCTTGACATGACTCTACAACTGTAATTTTTCCTCCAGATGACGTAGTACTTCGTCTTGATTAAAACCTTGTTGTAGCTCTACAGCAAGCATCCTTAATAGACGTCTTCTGCTTCTTCGCTGGCGGCTCATCACCCGCCTTAGGCGGTAGTTTGAAACCTTCCGGAAAAATTGGTTCTTGCCATGCTTTATGAGGCCACTCAGTTCTGGGATACAGCTGTGCTATGCCACCGCATCCGGTAGGGTTGCCAGCCTCTCCTTCCAACTTGGGCAATGGATTACCAGTATTCTCAGCTTCAGTCTTCTCACGCCCTTTTTTGCCGCCACCGTCGCAGCGATGATTAGAAGAAGAGACTTTTGGAAGAGGATTATAGTCCTTGAAGATGATGTTGCACCGACCTTCTTGCTAAGCCTAGGAGGTCCTCTGTTCGATGCTGGTCATCTATCTACTTACATCTGGTTCAGTCCTCCTGGGAGCTGAGTTACCGTCATGGAAATGGCATGGCATGAGTCTCACATAGTCTTACATGTACTATCTGGGAGACTAAACAATATCAAGGAGTCAGACAACGTCATTACGCCGTAATCAGTGCGGCTCTCGAGACCTGCGAATCGTCGTAGTATAAAGCCACTCTAGCCAAGTTACGCTGGACGACTTCTTCAAAATCTTGGCCTTCACGTGCAGACGGATCGAATCTCCACTCAGCAAGCAATTTTTTGGGTCAGAGTTAGAAGTAGAACAAGCGAATGATAGTAAAGTAAAGCTGCAAAAATCACTTTTTAGAAGAAAACGACAGGAGTACTTCTTCTACTAGTACGAGTACTCTATTTTTCATAAGAGTAGTCTTGTGGATTATGGTTGTCCCATTGCCATTCGGGTATGATAGGCAAGCCTTGAACGGCACGAGCTGCGCCATGAGGCAAACGGTCTAGATTCTTCATGTTCGCAGGGTGCCCTTTGGCCATGAACTGGTAAGCGCAAGGCTTCTTCTTGAAACGTGCGTAAAAGCCCTTCCAGTTTCGACGACCTACGTCGGTCTTCAGAGTGTCGGGAGGCACGATTCGCGTATGGGTAGGAGGAATCGGAGCACCCTCAACGATGTACCTCTTTGCTTAGAGTCTGCTAGATTGCATCTCGGCCCCCTCATCTTGACACCTTGTCCCTTGTATTTCATGAGAATACAAGGGAAAAGGGTACCAAGATGCCGAGAAAGATGGACACTAAATGTTGACCTTAATTTGCCATCTCCTCAATGTTGCCGAGTTTTAAGGTTTCACGTAAAGGCTCCATACGAGCTAAGCAAGCCTCGTCCGGTTCTAAGGCTGAAGGATCGAGTAGGCGCTCTTTCAGGGAAGGCCTGAGGTTTTTGGTTTCATACAAGTAGTCGGCATGATGAAGGTTATGCAATCAAAGCAACGAAACAAGATGGTCATCATCTTAACACAACAACGGCGAATCTAAAAAATGACTTGAAACAAGGATTAGAAAGAGGAAAAAATCTTTTAAGTAGTTAAATAGTACGTGTTCTTCCTGTATTCCAATTGCTCCTTGATACGGATTTGGCGATCCTGAACCATTTTGGCCCTCTCTTCCTCCTGCTTAGCTTCCTTCTCTTTCCGCGCGGTTCGTGTTGCTTTCTTTGCGTCTTCGTATCCAGAAATGTCGTCGTAAGGCAGTGCTACGACGAGTTTTTGTGCTGTTGTACTATCATCTTCTGACTTTTTAGATGAAGATGTTGTATTCTGACCACCATCTTCAGCAGGAAGAAGCCTCTCTATTAGAGCTACCGCGTCGCATCCCTGAGCCCATCCTTGAGCCGCATTTCCCCTTGAAAAGGAGGCCAAGGATGGCGCTGAGGATGCTTCAACGGCAGCCTTAACTCTACAACTTGTTCATCTCCAGTAGCAGCAGATGCACTAGTGGTTTTGTTTTTCAACATTTTCTTGTTTTGCTCCTTGTCCTCCTTCATCTCTAATGCAGCTCTAGCTTTATTAGCTTCAGCTTGCTCCTTGAGGCACTTCTGTTTCGCTGCATCGTTCCGGAACCACTTCATGAGATTGATGTCCTTTTCCGCCGCTACTTTTTGCACCAGGTTTTCTAGCATTTTCAACTTCTTTTTCTTGATTTTCTGTGCGACGTTCCAGGAAGGCACAGAGGGAGGAATCACCCTGAATTCATGTTTCACAAAGGAAAGCTATAATTGGACAAAAGTATTGTATGAAGGGAGAAGACTAAGATTCAGAGGGAAAACGAACGAAATCACGATTATGAAAATGTAAATGATAAAACGATCCTCGTAATCAAGTAGTTCAAAGGTGGTGCCTCTACTCTGCTGCAAGAACGAAAGAACAAAAAGTACACTTTCTCCAGCACGAAGTCTTCCTTTTTCACAGGGTTGCTCGATCCATACTTGTAGCGCGGATCCGTGTCCCAGAGTGGATTTTCTTTCGTCCACTCCGCACTGCGCTGGCGGCCCTGACAGCCAGGTCCGAAGAGAGATTCGAGACTTGCCTTTTCCTCATCGGTTTTGTTCTCCAGAAGTTTGAAAAATGAAGAACACGTTGTTAGATTTTGGTGCGACGCTGGCAGGTAGTTCTTGAGCAGGCATGGCATAATATCTGCTCCTGCAGTAGAAGTGTCAACATGCTGTTCTTGTTTAGTTGTAACTTTGATCTTTTCGTCCACAACGTTCTCGTCCTTCGCTGTTGTAGTCGTACTAGCATTACCCTGCTCTTGTTTGACTTGGATTATTTGTTGTTCACCAGTTTTGTCTTTCGAATCCTTCTGTTGTTCCTTTTTCTTCGCAGAAGCTAAAAACTTTGTATCCTTAATCTCGTTCTGTACTTCTAATGCGGCTGTTACATCCGCAAATGCCGAAAATTTCATGGGAGATGCTTCTTCCTTTTCATGTACCACCTGCTCGTTCAGCCATGCTGCACTCTTAGCGTCTCTTTTGTCTGGATTTATCACCATATCTACTTCATCTGGCCAAACTATGCGATGCGCAAAGCCACGCTTCTGTGCTTCTTTCTTGATGATATTGTACGCTGCCATGAAGCCCCACTGATATGCGTACTCGTGAGGGCGTCGCCCGTGCTTGTCCATACGGACTAGGGATAGGGATTAGAAGTAGTCATAGGAGAAAGAAGAGACCTGAAGATACGAATTCTTATTTTCTGTGGCTACGCGAGGTAGCCAGCTATAGGCCACCAGTGCTTCCTTCTATATTGCTCAACAACAACAAACTACTTTCGTTCTACTGTCATAATTGAATCTCGGATGCGCCACGATGAATTTGATTGTCGACAAGTCACTGCGTACTCGGTATTCGCGCTCAACCGCTTTGTGCAGAATTGAAGCTCCATTTTCCAAGTCCACGCTGTTCGCCTGCTCATATTTGTAGCACTCCAAAACGATCATGACGCATTCGTGCTCCGGAAGTGGTAAGCCTGCATATTTCGGATTGCCGGCTGCACGCGGAGATTAGCGAAGATGGTAGGGACTCTTGACTGATAAGAAACTAGAAACGCGAAGGTACAACAAACTGAAACAAGTAAAACTTCCTTGTTCCCCTTGAACATTTTAAAAACAAACTAGATCATGGACTTAGACGAAGATGTTGACAAAGAACCAGCCATATCAGGGATAAACATCTTCGAGGAGCAAATGAATCGGTGAGGTGTCTGGAAGCGGCTCAAAGGCGTCCACCCGATTTAACCGTGTCGGCAACGGCATCATCATGAGCAATTCTAGAGACTGCAAATCCTTGCGTCCACACGCTTCTCGCATCCAAGTGTGAGCCTGTTGAGATGTGGCGGGGAAGAGGTGATGAGTGAAGTAATGTCATTGTAACTAATGTCATTGTCAGTCTGTAGAGGCTCATAATGAGGCGAAATGGAACTGGAAGTGAATGAAGGAGAATCAAAAGAAGTACGGAATGCTGACAATTTGTCAAAGACGATAATGTCCGAAGCCGACCTACGAAGACACAGCTAGGTCTAAAATTGAAAGTAGCTTCAAGTCACAACATGACTACCTTCTTCGCACTCTCCGTGAATTTCCGATTAAATCTATGGTCTAATCTCGCCTGGCGCGTCTCCGTTTTATTCTCCCTCTCAAGCCACGTCAGCTGTCTACCAATCTGACGATAGTCAGAGCGACAGATATCGCGGATCTCACCAAAGAATTCCTCTTTTCTTCCACCACCACCATGTCGAGACAAAAACCGCAAATAGTCCCAATCATAGGTGTCGGGAGCCAGCCAAGGTGCGAGAGGAAAAGCTAAGTCCCTCTCGCCAGCACAAACACGATTCTGCCATTCGCGAATGTGCTCTTTCCACTCGCCTTAGACAGTCTCGTAGAGATAGCAATAGTACAGAGAAAGAATCATGTGCTCATTCGCATTCCACTTATATATAAGTATCTATAAGTACTATAAGTATGGCATCGAGACCTGCGACCTTTTCCATAAATTCCTCTCAGCTGCAGTCCCGTACGGATCTGCGTACCCGGAGGCGGTACATCGCAAATCCCATTTTCAGTGGCCAGTTCCATGGTAGGTGGATGATCATCACCGAATTTGGCCTGCAGGGATTGCGGTACAAAGCGACGACCAGGAGGCTTTTTGGCGAGCTGTGGTGTGGGAGTGGCAAAAAGGAAAGAGTGTAAAGGCGGCCCTTGCATAAGTACTTACAACATGAAGAAGATGTCTTCTGAGGAGGTCCTAGTACCAGAACCTCAGCTAGAAGCCCACATTTATCAAATACAAGATAATATCTTCGCTCCTCGTCCTGTCGACGACCAAAGATCGAACGATGTTAGCAAAAAAAAAGCATCCTGCTTACCTTCCATTCCTGGAAAGTTTTCGGAGCCAACTTCAGGAAGTCGAGACCCTTAGTATCCTCCGGAAACGTTTCCAAAGGTGCAATGTTTTTCATAGCCTTCGCTAGCGTCTGTTTAGGAACTGCCAAAGTCGTAACTACTTTCTCTGAAGAGGAAGACTTCTTGTTCTCGGAGGATGATTTTCTTTAGATGTTGAGCACAGGGCTGTTGCTTTGGGGTTCCTTTTAGTTTTACTTGTAAGTAGTTTTAGTTGGAAGTAGTTTTACTAGTTGTAAGTAGTTTATTTAGTTGCTTTTTCATAGAAAAAGTTGATGGAGTTGGAGCTTTGTTGGGCAGAAGTTGAAGTTCTTGAACTACCTGCTTTTTTAGGGCAGCTTGTGAGGGGGCTTACTAAGAATAAGGAAGTCATGAACTACGTACAACATGATCAACTTTTTAGTAGAGCATAATTCTTGTCTTTTTCATCGTCGAATCCACCATCTTCTCCAGCTGAAGAGGCACTAGCAGCAGATCTCTTCATCGGTGCAGCCTTCATTTTCGTAGTATTTTTAGAGGTTGCGACATTGCATTCTTCAGATTTGATCCCTGACCCTCTTCCTACTGGAAAAAAAGTGAAGGAAGATGGTTGTAGTGAAGAATGCAACGCGGTAACCCTTAATAGTAGTTGTCGTGGGTGCTTCTTCCTCCTCCTCTTCTTCGGGAATGTTAGAGCTAGAGGGTGCTAGCTATGATTCATTGTCCATCCATCAGCATCGTCCTTGTTCTTCATCTACTAGCTTTGATCCCTTGCCCTCTCGGGGCAAAGGGAAAAGTAGAAGCTAGAAGTAGATGAAATGAGCATAAATCCTTATGCTTATACGTGGAACATCAATCATGACGGACATAAGAAGATCCACGAAGTTCACTTTCCTCATTGGTGGCTTCTTTTTTGGCTGCTCTTTCTTGTCCTCCTTGCCACCCGACGTGTTGTCAGCAGCGGCAGCAGCTTTTTTTGGCGCCATGTTGAAATGATGACTCTTTTCTATTTTGGGCTTGAATTTATGCTAGTGTTTTGACGTAGCTTGTGTTCTCAACACATTCGCATAATGTGCGTGTCGTTGCGTGATTCTAGTAGCTTTTTCTTCCGTAGAGAAAAAAAACTTGTCAGCCTTAGCCAGTAAGATATTCGGAGGACCAATGCTTCCATGACTCGCATAGTTTGAAAGGCGACTCAGTCTCTAGTACCTGCCTTGTTCTCCCAAGAACTCTTTCTGATTGTAAACCGAGCTCTTATTCTTAATGATGAAGCAGGCAGAACTTTCTCGACCATTTTTGCTCAGCTGCTTGTGCTCTCTCCATCTCTCTCTTCCAAAGTCTTGTTGTATGCGTATGCTTGCGGACGACCCTTCTTGGCAAAAGAATAGGACTGCCAAATCCAAGATGTTCTTGTTCAGGACTGACGTGTCTACTTTCTTCTGTTTTTATAATCTTGTTCATCCGCCTGACTATTTTCTCGCATGAAAGGTCAATTGAAGGTCCTCGTACTTCCTAGAATCAATCATCTATTTCTTGTAACTAGAAGTAGTTGTATTTAGATTCAATCATTTTCTTGTAACTAGAAGTAGTTGTAGTTGCAGTAGATAGAATAGAAGAATACAACAAAAGCCCTTAGCAGTAGCAGTTCCATGATTTGATAGCAGGAATGCGTTGAAACATGACATTGGATGCCTTTCTTGTTCAGCTAGTGAATGCAGAAGTTCTAGATGAAATTGGATTAATCAATCATTATTAATTATTTCCAAAGAAACTTATAACAAAAATCAATTACTCTCGAGCGCTTCCTAAAGTTAAGCATCTATAAGGAACGAAATAGAAGCGTCGAGAGCTTGTCTACTACCAAATCGGACACCAGACGCTTAGTAAGACGCTTAGTAAGGTGCACTTCTTCTCGACCATTGACACTTACTCATCGCTTATGAGGGAAAATTACTCATCGCTATCATCGTCTGAACCTCCACCAGACGAGCCAGAGCCGGAACCGGAACCGGATTCGGAACCGCCACCAACACCAGAAACTCCTGAAATATCGGATACACCGGACACACCGCCAGAAATATCTGAAACATCGGAGACAACGCCAGAAATATCGCCTGCATCAAGAACTTAGAAGAAGAGAACAATAGAGCAGGGAAATTTTTTTCATCTCCGATAGCAATAGCATCAAAATAAACGTGATTGATTCAACTAGACGTAGTAGGTACAACAGCAAGATCTTGACAAGTTCAACATGATACAGTTTCAGTTACAGTCTCATACTCCTGACACAAAAACACTTATTGTTCAGAATCAAGTGCTAGTACAGACTGACATCAGCAAAGCTGGTGCGACACCAGGTAGGACAGAGACAGACTCAGACATCAACGATAAAAGCACAACTATCAATATTTTATAAGTACTCATATTTATATTGATACTGAATGATCGTGTTTCAAAGCCTATCTTGAACAAAAAAGCTCTACTACTTCCATTTCCAACCTTTCCATAATCACTATCATCGGAATCGCTGTCGCTGGAGGACGAGGAGCTACTCCTGCCTTTATTATCGTCTTCTGACGACTCTTCGTCTTCGTCGTAGGGTGCCGCAGCGATCACAGCAGCCCTCAAACCTTGACTCAGATCCGCCTGATCCATGCGAAGGTTAGAAGAGGCAGAGAGGAAGATTAAGCAGTAGATGAGTAAAAACGACAAGATGAAGTTCTTCTATTTACAGTGAATACTACTTGTTGTAACACAAAGATGTACTAGTTCTAGTTCTAATTCGAGTATCAAAAGATAGAAGAAGTTCCTTTTTCTTTTTCAAAAACTCGAAACGAAAACCCATTTAGTTCATCACTTAGAAGTGCAAAACCCAATTAGAGTAGTTAGTTCATCACTTACGAGTCGTGCATCGTATTAATCTCTGTTTTCTTCTTCGTAACTTTTTCGATTTTTTCTCCCATCTTCTTGGTGATGGTTTGCTGATCCGGGATTAGGGATTCCTGACCAATTGCTTCATTTTGCTGGCTTTCCTGGTTCTTCCGAGATCTCGCCAAAGCCTCTAGATCGGTAACGCGCGCTCGCACGGCCTTTGTCATCCACGGCATTAAGGCGCCTGCATCCTGATCAAAAACGCCACAAATTAGAAAATCAGCTTGAAGAACCTTCTATCTCGATTTCCCCACGAATATCTTGGTACTTTTTGTTCGTCTCTTGAGGTGGTATTCTTTTCCGGGATCAAAAAGATACCAAAGAAAGAGAAAAGAGAAAGATGGATAAACCTGACCAGCGTAAAGAGAGAAGTCTGATCTCCTCCTCAATCAATCGTGTGTCTTCCGGTAACGGCCTCGAGAAAACGTGACCAATCGGGTCCGCCTTGGCGTGGTACTCGGTCAACGACAGCCTTTATTTGGAAATTGGTTCTTTGGTTCTTGATGGTCGTGCTTGATCAATTTTAGATTTAGTACTATTTTGTACTGAATAAACCATATAATTCATTGCAGCACGAGAGTTACTTCTACGACGAACTTCTTCTTCTACGTAACAATTTTAAAAAAATAAACAACATCATCCTCTAGCAGAAGTTAGTACTGTTGGCGTGTCTGTGCGTCTCGCACGTTCTCAGAGTCTGCTAGAAAAGCCAGTCTTCCCGCGTTCTGTCCCTTCAAGTAGGATGTGAGAGACCCACCTCCGGTTTTAACAGAGAGATTTCTAGCGAAATTTCTTCGATGGCTTGTTCCCCCTAGTGCCAGACTTCCTCCACTTTCGGCCAGCTGTTCCTCGAAACTTCCACCTGTCAGCCCTTGTGCGTGTACCCCTTCATAGACTGCTAAGCTGCCATTGTTGCCAGTAACCGCCTCTTCACGCTCCAAATATTCGGCCCTCGTCTCCAGGAGCTCTTCGAGCATGTGCATGAGCATCATCACCAGCTGTCCTTTTTTTATCAGCAGCCCAACCTCGCGTTCGGTCTGCTGTGTCAATTGCGTTCTGGGGACTACAGCTGAGCTGACAGACCGCTCCAGAAAGGTCAGCGCGTGTCGGATTTCCAGACGAGTAGCAGCCTCCAGATCTAGAAACTCCAGATTCAAGTCAGCACTCTTGTCTTTTAAACCTTGCAACTTCGCAGCAAGTCTGTCACGGAATTCTAGCAATTTCGAAAAGTCCAAAGCTCGCTGTACAGCAGCACCCATCCGTTTTTCGCCATGGACCTCGTCACGTAGCCCGTGGACTAGCCAACGATGATCCCTCGAAATCTGGCGAAGCCTGCTTTCGGTGGGAGTTAGACGAGGACGGGATTGTAGTACACGTACAACTTAGATTTTTTCACACAACGTTCTACAGGATGCTCATGCTCTACAAGGTAAAGGAGTATCCGTCATTTGTGGCGCTAGAAGTCACTTAGTCCTAGTCTTCGTGGTTGGCTTTGAATCAGAGAGGAATCAATATCACAGGAGTGGTCCCATAAGAGAGAAGTCTGTCGCAGCACTACCGCCCGATCCTCCATAAGGTAGATCAAGCTGTTCTGTGCTCGCCAAAAAGCATTGATTGCACGTGCGAGGGCTCGCTCGATACCGACTAGGTCCCCACGCATTTGGGAGCGTTTGTATTGCTCTTCCCACTGCAAATTTCGAATTTCTTCATCTTCCAATTGCTGTTGCACATCCCGTTTTTCGTGCTGCACATCCAGCTTCTGCAACGCCCACGCGTCTGGTGGATGGATGGAGGCATAGTGCTTCTTCACCAAGCCTGGCAGATACGGTATGGCAGCGTTGAGTGGACGCAGAACGGCGACTAGATCGGCAATTCCATGGACTAAGACCTCGTTTTTTCTCCCCAATCTTAACGCTAGTTTTCCACCATGCCTGCTGGTCGAGTGACTTGTCCTTTGCCTCCCTTAATAAAGAGTTGTTCTCCCCTTCAAATCAAGGAGCACTTCACTCAGCATAGTTAGTCCGATGTAGTGATAGTGATAGTGAAAAACTTCTAGCCTTAACAATCGTTCGAGAAGTGTATCGTTGTCCCACGAACGGACGGCCTCATCGCCAGCATCAATGGTCTTCTCAATCGGTCCTTTCCAGCCACCTCGAAACAAATTAGGCGGTATCTGTTCTGAACCTTTACGTTCTTGCGCGGTCGCTGTCATAGGATAGAACAAAAAAGGCGTCTTCGCTGGTTTCATATCACCACTTCTCGACTGTTCAGGAAATTGAGGTTGATCCGACGCGTCAAGCCCATGCCCACCACGCCTCCTCGCCCTTTTCGCGTCCTGTTTTTTGACACGACTACCTCTAGCAGCGTAGTTGCCGTGTTTCCCCAGGAGCTTGCTCGCGGCTGTAGACATCACCATGGCTCCCGAAGCCCCATTTTTGCTGTCCTTCGACGCACCTGGTGGTTGACCACCGTAATCCCACCATTCATCTGCTAAAATTGAACATTTACCGTTGTCTGAAGAGGCATTGCCTGAAGATGAAGCACCTCCTCCTCCGACTGAGTCCACTTGCTCTTGAACCTCAGCTGGCGTGATACTCGTCAACCCAGACAAATCATGCCTGAAGAAGGCTTTTCTAAATCGCCTAGACCGTTTGTCTTCTTTCGACTCCCTTGCGACATCAGCAGGCGTCATGCTGGACAGGCTCTCTAAATCGGCATCTGCGAGCGGTAAAAGTTGCTGGTCCTTGTCCTTCATCTGGATCTTTCTCAGTTGACGATGAAAGGACGAACTATTCTGGGGTGTTTTTGGAGCAGGCTCAGAAGCTTCTTCTTCTCCCCCCTCGGGATACATCAACATTCTTGCTCTACTTGCGCTTTCTGGTCCTGAATCTGGTAGATCACCTCGTCCTCCTTGATTTCCACCTGCTCCAGCGCGTTGCCACATAGGAACTATTGGAGAGTCGCCTTCTATGGAAACATTACTGCTTTGATGGTGCATCGAGGTGGATACTCCACCCGCAGAAGCGCCAAAAGTTCGACGAGCAAGATTCTGATTCGACGAGGAACTAGAGGACCCGCCAACCTGCATTTGCTCGAAACCCATAGGTAATAACTCTGCTAGATGCGGTACATGCTTCAGTCTCGAAGACCCATTCGAGGAAAGAATTGAAGTGTTGTTGATGTCTTCACCTGCTTCTCTTTCTTCTATGCTAGAGTTCTTGTTCTTCTTGTTTCTCGTACTCGTCTGCAATAATCGTCCTCTAGTAGAACAACTAGACCCTGTAGCTGTATTGTTATTCCTAGATGAAGCACTGTAGTTCGTTATCTTGAATCTACTATCGACAGATGACGCTGGACTGTTGCTATGCTGCGAGGAAGATGATACCTTACTCCTCTCATGACCAGGCTGGCGTCTAGACGATCCAGATCCTTCACCCAACAAGAATCTGGAAGATCGTTTTCGTAGCACGATCTTTTTACGTGTTGAAGAAGACACACTGCTAACTATACTAGAAGAACCCTGCTCGTCTCGCAAGAGTCGTTGCTCAGCATTGCGGGTATAGCTACAGTCGAAGTCAATCGAAGCAGATGAGCTCGATGGAGTCGGAGTAAAGCCGCTTTCTTGTTCAACATGTTGTTGTGCGGCAGAAGATGAAGTCGCCAGCGAGACTGACTTCTCATCTTCTTCTGCTTCGTCAATCTCCATCTCCTCATCTGGATGGTCGAAAACATTTTCTGCTTTTGTTGCTGTTGTATCTCTAGCTACAAGAAAGGTCGCCTTCGAAGACCCCGTTGAAGCCCCATCTTTCCCTTGGATCCATCGCTCTAAAGAGTGGCGCTCATTGTGGTGTCTAAGCTTCTGCTCCTCGCCGTCCCACCATTGAAGCAGACTCCCGAGTTCTGAGGTCACCGCAAACCTCCCTTTTTTAGGGTCTACTATCGCCGCATGCTTGTCACGCCAGTAGTTCTGAGACACAGGCTGTGGATACCGCGGTCGTGGAGGAGCTGGTCCTCCATCCTCGGAAGGGTGGCGGAGAGGTTGCGGAAAACCAGGCATGGTTCTGGTTGGCCATGTATTAATAAGACAACTTATGACATATTCTTACAATGACATGTTGTATCCTCATGCTGGTACTTGAATGCTTAGAAAAAAAACAATGAATCATTCATCATACTCATACATGCTACGACTTTAATAAGGCTACTTTGATTTTGAAGATACTAACCTGATGAAAGGGTTATGCTTACGGTTAGAGCAGGACGTTGGAATAATTGTGCACTGTGAGGCAATATGAGAGAACCACGACTGGTCGTGCTGGCTTTACAAAGACGATACGGGAGAGGTTGCTAGGCATATTTACTTCTAGTGGACCGATGAGCATGAGACTGATAAACAGAATGATTATTGTGTGTTTGCAGTTGTGAGACTGCAATGTAGCAGTTTGTGGATGTGGACCGATTCAGAAAATAGGCTTACGGAACGATCTACAAAGTCATTATACAGATGCGCTTCTGGAGAGGAAAACGATAGTGACCGATGAGCAGGGGTCACAGTCATCTCGTCTATTCTAGTGCCGATATCTGCGTCGTTTCTGTGCTTTACAACTGGACGCTCTCTCATTTCTGCTCACATCCACTTCCACAGCACGAAGGAATCTCTATATCAGAAACACAAGACGCGATATTAAGGACCAGCATCCTGCTCCTACTTAAAATGCATCTTCATCCAGTGCTGAAATCGCAGGTAGTAAGCCCGGAGTTCCACCACTTTTAGTCTACAGGACACAGAAAGCAGTTATTAGTTCGTTGTTCTTCTTGGCAATCCAAATTGTACCACTGCACATCCCGTGAGATGCGGTAGACGACATTTCTGCCTATTTCCTTCTAGACAACGCAACAAGGAAGCTGCTCCTGAAGCTGTACTAGAGGAGCTGCGTTTTTCATCTTCGTGCCAGTCATTCAACACATTTGCCGTGAATTTATCGACTTCTCCTGCCAGGACTTCCCAGAGACACCCAACCACAACCGGCGCACCTCCGATGAGGTAATGGGCATGTGTTCCGAAGCCTTCATCACCGTAGCCCGCAGCATACTGCTTTGTGGAAGAGCAGCCCATCAAGAGGGAGGCTGCGAGCGCGTCCTTTGATATGGTATGTTCCTTCAATATGGGCACCATCGCTTTCTTGATGCGATCATCCTCACACACACGATTTGGATCTTGATCCGTGCCTTCTCGAGCGAATCCTCTAACATGTTTTCCTTCAGAAAGAGGAGGCTTCTTCTTCTCATCCACAGCCCGTATCTTTTTCAGCCCCTTGCTCCGTCCAAGCTCCAGCTGTTCCGCGTTCACGTATTGCTCCCCGCCATAGTGTCCTGAGAAAAGGAAGGTATCGCGTTCACAAAGGAGGTCAAAAAGTTTTCGCTTTGACGGTGCCTTTCCCACTGTGCCACTCCATTGCAGGCGCCTTAGAACGGGAAGAAGCTTCTTATCGTGCACTTCCGCATCGTTCTTCGGGTTCAAAACGTAGAAACCTGAACTATTGCCTGCTCTATCGTTTTTTTTAGCTCCTCCTGTTGCTGAAGACCCTAGTAGAATTGCAGACCTCGCACTTTGGTCCTCATCCTCCGTCGTGGTCTTTTTTTTCGTATGAAGATACTCTACTATTTCCACATCTTCTGAGGCCATCATGTTGGGTGCCAGTGCTCTTGCAATAGGCAAACCCCGCAGCAATGGCATATGCTCAACAGGTGCATTCGTAATCGCAGCGTCGAGGTATAACAAAACCGCTGGTGATCTGTTGAAAGAGGTTGCGTCTTCTGAAGACTGCTCTCCCATGATCCCCATTTCTTGTTCGACATCTTCAGTCTTTCGCAGGAAACCTCCAAAAAGTTCCTCCCTTTCGCTACACCTCAATCGCCCCAAAGTCATTGCCTCGAAATTCTCTAGCCATTTCTGAAGCCGTTCGTCAAATTCTTGCCGTCGATCCCAGAATCGTTGTTTGACACTATCGTCTACCTGTCTTGTGGCTTCACCAGCAATGCTTCTTTGTACTTGTTTCACATCTCTACGGTTCTCGTCCAGAAGCTCCGCGAGACTGTGCATCATCCGCTGCACCGGAACATTCCGAAGGCGGCAAGAAAAACCGGCAGAACTGGTGAAAAACATTGTGTGCAGCTTCTCATTGCTCCCGTCTTCGTCTAACCGCAGCTGCGGCTCGCTGAGAACGTGAATGAAAACGGATGGAACTCGTTCTGCTCCGACGCTAGACGCAACTTTTGTCGTGCCGACGTTTTCTAGCGGAAGATCGTCATCGTCGGCAGGAGCGCTTTTGATAGTTTTAGCTCCTTGTTGATTCGCATCATCTGCCGCGATGCCTGTACCTCCACCATAAGAAGAACCCCTTCTTACTCGCATCTCTGGCTGTGGTAATGGAGCCTGGTCAGGCTGGTCACTCCTCGTCTGCTCAGGAAAAAGGAGAGTTTCCATCTCACTCCACGTCGGCAGAACCTCACGACTCGCCAGAAACCCTTGCAAGCTTCGCACTTCATACAGCATCCAACTGCCCCAGGAGGCAGCACACAGCGGAGCCAACTGCTGGATAAGTCGCGTGGTTGTGTTTTCGAAATCTTCGAGGCCTGTATTAAAGCTCAGCATTCATTGGTCACTGACTCGGAAGGGAAGAGACCCCCTTCAAAGCTCTCCCCTTTCCCTTCGTTTTCCCCTGTTCTCTCAACGGGTCGCCACCTCTTCGATCTCAGTGACCAACTCCAATGACCATTGAAAGTTGAGCCTTAACTGTAGTTGATTCAGCGAAACGAGTACTTGGCGTTGATGTCCCAAGGCAAAGGCTATCCCGCAGATCCACCACAAACTGCAACAGCAACTTTGCAGATTTTTTGACTTCGCGAAAGTCACCCGTTGTCAGTGCTTGACAAAGCGACTGAGCGAGTCGCAGTGTCGTGCCTAGGCTGTGATCTACCAGCATCGCATCGTCTTTTCCCTCCTCTATTTTCCGTCGCTTTCGAGGTGGCGCGACGTCGCCATTGAGGTCGGTGTTCTCGAGGGGAGTGGTGCTGGTATCATCATCAACAGCATCCGACTCTTTTCTAGATTCCTTCGCCAGTAAAATCGCTTCAATCTTCTGAAGGTGGGTGGTTTCTACGCGCTCTAGATCGCCTCGAATTCTATTGATTTCGTCGCTAAAGTCGAAGGCTTCTGCCGTATCCCCAAGAAGACACCACTGATTTTCGTTTGTGTAGTACGTCTCGTTCACTTCGTCCGGGTGAGCATCTGCGTCTTCATCTACAACTGGTGCATTTGCAACATTGCGCCTTTCTTGGTCTTCCTTGCAAGAACTAACACTACGAAAACGCTTTGCCCATTCATCGCATCCAGAGAATCTTTCTGCAAAACGAGCACCACTGTCAAGCCAATGCTCCGCCCAACGGTCTAGACCAGCCCGTCGATAGGAGTGCGCGATATCCCAGTGCAATTCGCAGCCAAAAACAGCATGTTCTGAGAGATTTCGGACGATTGTGGTACCTGCGAGAAGCTTGGCGGCGTGCAGCAGTAATGCAAGACGTGACGGGAAGGGCGTCCTTTGGGACCAGGCGAGCGCTCGGAGCACGACGGCAATATCCTGGAACGTCGAAGAATCGTCCTTGGTGCAGCTGTCCTCGTGGTGGTCTGCTACTCGATTGGAAATAGAAGTCTTGTCCTCGGTCTCGGTGGCTATATCCTCAGCACCGTTCTTGCGTGGAGTCCCTCTTGGAGTTGGTATGTCGTTTGTTTGAACAACATCATGCTGCACGTCCGCTGTTTCCTCCATCTTCTGCTGTTCAGAAGCTGATAAAGCTGGTGCTGAAAATGGTGCGGCTTCTTTACAAAAGTAACACCACAAACGTTCGGCTATTTGCCTGAACCATGGCTGAGCGACTACAGATGAAGAAGCACAAGACTGTCGAACACCACAACATGCTACACGCACGAACTCCACGTGAAGGGAGAGCATCGCTGGTGTCATGTTCATCGGGGTATTTTCCGCTGCTTGAAAGCTGGTTTCGATCATCCCCGCTATCGTTTGCAACAGAGGCATGGATTTGCTGCCGGATGAAACCGTCTGCTCATGATCAGCATCATCATTTTCTAGCACACCTGAAGTATTGATCAGCCGCCATGCGCGCAAGGCAGTCGCCAGGCACTCTGCGACCGCTTGTTTTTCTGAATCAGATGACGGCGAATCTCGTATGTTCCTCGTCTTTTCTGCTCGTTTCATTTTGCAAGTCTCTCGTTTGCGTTCCACTTTTTCCGCTATGAGTGAGGACGCGGCCAAAGAGGCAGCGCCAGCATCGCGAGAAAAACCATACGGCTCCAAGAACTCGTGGGATATCGATATGAAAGCGTCTGTCAGAACTCGGAGGTCTCGCTTGGGGACAATCTGGAGTGGTGAAGAAGAGGAACTGGAGCTGGGCACGTTGTCAACAACACGCGATACTATTGCTTTGACAGTTTCAACCAATTGGTTTCGCGACAGACGTTCACTGTTGTCGCCTTTCATGTCTGTCGATACGGCCGAACCTGAAGACAGGCTGCACTCATCAGTCCTGAGAACATGAACAAACGCTTGCTCTAAGAGCGGGGCGGTTGTTTCTCGATTTCCTATTCCGCCAAGTTGCGCCACTAGCAGGTTACCTCGACAAATCACGTAAGTCGTAGAGCCGAGTATTGAATTTGAAGCCTGCTCGTCCTGTGGTATGGTTCTCGGCTTTCCGCCAGGGAAGAGGTGGGAGTGTGCGCAAATGGTTGAACTCAGTACCAAACGCATCGTGCTGGTTAGACGATTTACTGGCGCTTCCGACGAAATATCGCAGAAAAACTGCTTCAAATCTATAGCAAGCAGCGAAACAGCAACATCGATAAGTGCACGACACTCAGCCAAACTGCAGGACCGATGCAGCAAAACACGTACTGCCCCACAGACCTGCGTCGTAGCGGATACCAAAAATGTTGCTCCTCTCATAGTCGTTTTCGAATTTGCGTTTATTGCAGCAGTGCCAGTATTAGTATCAGAAGGTGAAGATTTCATCGCCCTACGCATCAGTCGAAGATACGCATCCGCACAAGCAAGTCGAAACAATGGAGATGTATGTAAAGTTTGAAGATTTTGATCGCCTGTTGCGATCTCAAGGCGAGTCCACATTTCGTCCAAGTCTGCCAAAACGCGCTCCAGTGAGGCGGGTTCTGATTGCGACGATTCATCGATGCGCAATTCGCATACTAGACGTGTGAGCGTGATTGCAACGTCGTCGTGGTCGTCATCGCTCCCCTGTGTGAGTACCGCCCTCTCTGCCACTTTCTCTAGCAGAGCGATCAAGTCTTGCACCTCCCTCTTCCTATTCTCATCTACTTTTTCAGAAATTGTTCGTTGATGCAACAAACTCCGAGAAACCGTAATACTGAACTGAGCAGCTTGGCCGAGAAGTGCTTCTTGTCGAGGACCTCGACCATCGACAACCGATTGTTGGCTACAATTGATCACGTTGTAGTCACGGAGAAACCTCTCGAAGATTACAGCAACACTACTTGTACTACTTGCACGACCTGTTGCACGAGTCAAATAATCATCCACAATTTGGTTCATCCTGTGAAAAACGGCTGACCAGACGCGGTTATCGTACGTCTCCGGCACTGTTGCGTTTGCGAAGGAACATAGTGCACGGTGCACAGAGCGCTGATCTCGAGAACCTGCGCTTCTAGTCGAATTGGTGCCATTATTTGCGAGAACGCACAATCCTGCAAGGTCCACAGCGGAGGCTCTCAGTTGCGCACACATTGAGGAGATGGCTTTATTAAAGCTCAGTACGGAAGAGACCCCGTTCAAAGCTCTCCCCTTTCCCTTCGTTTTCCCCTGTTCTCTCAACGGGTCAACACCTCTTCGATCTCACCAGTGAGGAACGAACCCCAATGACCTCCAACATAATTGAAAGTTCTTGAGCCTTAAACTTAATTTTAGTGTCATCCTTTCCACTACGCCGTGTTTGTGGAGACGAAGAAGACGCGTCCTTCTCAAACTTCTCCGCGAGCTGAAGAAATGAGTCCACAACAAGGTCGGTGACCAAGAGAAGGCCAAAATTCGACTCGTCAAGTTGATGAAAGTTCTTTACAACCGCGGCTTGATGTTTTAGTCGACTGCGCAAACTGCTACCGTTTGATGCGACTATCGCTCGATGGAAAACAGCAGCCTCTTGAAGAACCGTGGTCGATGAATCGAAGTCGAAGCCACATCTTCGGGGATTCCCTTCAGAACAACTCACCAGATCATCGAATTCGTCCGCTTTTTCCACAAGTGCGTACAAGCAAAGAAGTAGAAAACTATGAGGGAAGCGCTCCAGCATTGGTATGTTCTCATCGGTAGCAGACTTCTGCGTGATTGCACCTAGTATTGTCTTCCCTGCTAATATTGTTCTTTCTTCTGGCCCGCCAGTAGTTGTTGTGCTAGTTGTTGTGCTAGTAGTGGTATTGTTGCGCAGTTCTTCTACTCGCATTACTTGAAAAGCGCCCTTCAGCACTTTCATCGCATGCTGTGGGCAATGCTGCAAGCAGGAACGAAAAACGACGGAAGTGAGGTTCTTGATGTGTCGGTCGTCCCTTCTACTTTCGAGAAGTAGAGTCTCCACTACTAACGCGAGATTTCTGGCTTCTTGAGAAGGAGAGCAGGAGCACAGCGTTTTCTCACAGGACGGCTCGTCATAGACTGCAAGCGCACACGATACCCATAGTTGTGATGAGATTTTTGAGCAGGCACTTGCATGACTCCGCATAGCATCTTCTATTTCGCCACCCTCCTGAAGATCGGAAGAAGCTGCAGGTGCAGCCCGCGCAAGTTTCAACAGTGCCGCCCACAGAGTTGGAGGTCGCATAACTTTTCCCCAGACTACTTTTATTTGTTCTGCTTCATTTTGTTGTCGCGAGCTCAGGGACTCTTGAAAAAGACGAACTAGTGCTTCGATCCTCCGTGGCACGCCCTCTTTTACTGTGCTCTCCAATGATGTATCAAATTCAAGGTCAGCCTGCACAAGCTTACAGAGTGCAACAAGCTGTAGTTCGGCCCAGGTACAACCAGCTGCCGTCTTAGCGCTGAGAGGCCATAATTCCGTCATAGTGTCAGCAGCAAGCCACAAGCGCCAGCATGTTTCTATCATCATCTTGTGCGACGTCGCAGCAGATAATTGGCTCTCATCTCGTTGTCCCTCTCCTTTTCTGTACCGTGCAACCTGCTGCGCACATTGTCCCACTGCAGCATACCACAAATGACTCGCTTTGTCGAAGGGCAATGCACCAACTACAGCAGAAGCCGTCGAATTCGTATCTTCGGATTCGGAAGTAGTTGATGTTAGCGTCGTCCAACACCAGTATAATGCGTCAAGCTGATCTGCAACGGCCTTCGGAGATGAAGTATGCGTTGACCACGACTGTGCATTTTTGGCGTCATTTAAAGCGCCGTGAAATAGCCTCAAGAGGCTAGCTGCCGATGGAGGATGCTCGGCGGCCTTCGACTGAAGCAGGCGGTCCATTTTGGTATAATTAAGTTGCTCTTGCCACTCGCGGATGAATTAATCATGAGCCATACTAGCCATTCCCATTGTCACTATAAAGTAAATGTAAAACTAAAAGATCCGTCCTACTAAATTTTGCCTTTTTCTCTATTTTGTTTGGGTAGTCTCACCCTCTGTTTCTTGCGCGGTTCATTGCACTCGTCGTGCTTGATGCTCGGTCGAGCGGCACCTTCGAAGATCGAGTTGTTCTTCTTGTCCGACAAGCTTGCTACTTCTTAGTCTTGGGCAATGCGATAAATATGTTGAGGAAACGAAAAATGATCTCGAAAACGAGTTACTGCTCTTCCGCTCCGAAAAAGAGACTCTACGAACGGAAGACACCGTCGCCAGCACCACGATTATTATTGATAAGCAATCCGCTTGGAGGGCGTTCATTCAAGACCACAAGGGCCTTCGGTTTCCAACTGAGTGTAGTTCATTGAATTTTTATTAACATCTTTGTGCGTCGAAATAAAAGTTATTTCCCGATGGAATGCGAAAAAAAAGAATCTCGTCAAGGTTGTCAACAGCTTCAGTTGCGTGTATTGTTGTTGTGTGCGCGGCAACGGTAAGTTGCGCCTGCGCTTTCATCCTTTTCTACACTAGCGAAGAATTTCTATCGAATGAACATTCAACAAATAAACAGTGCTAGAAGCACTACTAGACCCAATTTTTGAAAGGGGTTGGTATTACGTGCTCGTCTGTGAAGAGTTGTTAACGTAGACTAGAGGATATGGAAATAGTAATAGAGACACGATACTAGTAGGCAAAGCCACTTCTCGGTGTTTAATAAGACATGAAGATGAATTATGAAAATTATCGAGCCAGAGAAAAAGAGCAGCAGGCTTTCTGTTTCACGACATGTTATTTCAACATTTAGAAAAAATAAAGAAATAGTTGAATTAGGACCGACTAGAGGTAGCTATCTGCTATGTAAATAGAATCAATTAGAAAATGCAAAAAACAACGATGAGAATCGTATCTATGATGCGCGCAAGAAAACGACCCTACCACTATGTAAAACCAGAATCAATTTTCATGTGAATATAACCTACATCAGCTGTGTGAAGGAATGATGTGCAAGAAGAAAGAACGAACATGCATTGAATGAAGCAGATGGAGATGGGAGGGAGGACTCTCATCTCATGGAAACAAGAGGGGAAAAAAGGGGAATTCTACACAACTGCGCGCGCATATAAGAACGAAGATGAATGTGGCCAAAATTCAATTCTGTCGATATAATTACGTCGATCGCTGTTTGGCTGACCATCAAAAAAAGGCCAAATATTTCGCAGGCCAGAGCTGCAGGCTGTAATAATTATCACACCCCGGGAAAATGAACGCAAAGAGAAGCGCAGAAGTATCGACATAATTAAAAAGCAGAGTTTTTCCATACCGTCGGCCGAAGCTTGAAAGTCGAGGCCAAAGCAAGGTGTCTCTGCTTTTTTATAATTATGTCGACAAAATGGGCGCCGCCTGGCGTTTTTATGTCGTAAATTGGGTGCGGCGCTATGCTGTATCCCCCCGAGGAAAGAAAATAGTAAGACTTGCCCTAACACGTGGCAGCGGGGTGTAATAATTATTACACCACGGCACTGCGTGCCGAAAAATGGCAGAAATCGACATAATTGAAAACACATAAATGAATTTTGGCTCCATATAGAAGATAGGAGCATTAGTCAAAGATGAAAGTTAAAGTTTTCATACAAGAGAGGTGGTCTATGCTGTTCGTGTCCGTTGTTATATCAACAAACATTCGTTCCGAAGGCACCAAAAATTCAACTGGAAAATAAAGAGAGAAAAGTTTCCAGCTCATCCATACTTCGCCCGCGAATTTATAGCCTAAGCCACACTGCTGAGTTACACTTGAAGCCGGAACCGAAGGCGATCTGCAGCACCTGGTGTCCTGGTTTCAGGCGTCCTTTTTGGTTCTCGATGTACTGGAGCTCATACCAAATCGAACTGCTACTGGTGTTACCCCACTGTCGCAGGGTCTCGAATGAGGGTTCCACATCGCGGTCTGTCAGGCGAAGGTTCTTTTTGACACATGGGTTAGAAGAGGTGGACCAGTGGGTGTGCTTTACATTATTTTTCCAGGTGACTGTTGTTCTCGTTGACAAGAACAAAACAAAACCGTAGAAGATGAAGTAGATCAGTGTATAGGCAGTGTGTGACAAATTGGAAAAGGCAAGAACTCAAAACCAACCTCCAACAACATAACTTCAATCACAGCCCTCCCGCCAGCGTGAATACAGAAATGGTCGATGCACTTCTTGAAGTTAGGCGTATAGACCTTGTACTTTGGCGGAAACATCTTCGGCGCTAGGTCGTGGAGGAAATTCTTGCAAGCGTAGTCGTAGGCCATGGAGTATGAAGAATGGGAGTGAGTTCATCTTTAATTAAATTGATTGATCAAACGGAAAGGGGGCGTCAGTGTCATGCGATAAAATGGTAAGTAGTACTTTAGGAAGTTATCAGGAAGTGTTCAGGGTCTAGATCTTCTTCGTTATCAAGGAATCGAATTCGTTATCGTTTGTATTTTATATAACCATAACGACAGCACAGTCTTCACTTGTTCGCTAATCGGCAAGACGTGCGGCGCCAGTTGCGTAAACTGCTTCGTCATTGCTCGACCTGCAACGGTGACTATATTTCTGTCCAGTCTCACTCCGCGCATGCCGTTTTCAGCTTCTTCGTCTTGAAAGACGCACTGGTAGCTCTCATTGTCGGTCATAAAGGTTCGTCCAGAATGGAGCAGTTTGTACTTGGCATACTTGCCTTTCACCTGACTGCGCGAACTCAGCAACGAAGCGACTCCACCACAGCGGAATAGCGTGTTCTGAAGCATCATGCTGCGGTCGTTGCCGCAATACCTCATTTTGAGAGAGGGATGATAGAGATAGTGATAGAGAGCGAGAGAGTTGTCCAGTCGTTGTCCCTGATCTTTGGTGTAGAAGAAAAAGTGCAGGTCGTAGGTAAGGCTGTACTCGCTCACACTCAGCTCTCATAAGCAGAGGACGAAGTTGAACTTAACTTTAAGGAATTTAAATATTTAGTTAACTAAAATAGCTGGATGCATACAGCCCATGGCGTCCCACCCCCAGTCCCTAGGCGCAGGTAGTGATAATAAAAACTAGTACTCGCAGCAAGCATTTGCGTGCAATATTATGTTTGAAGCTAGTACCACTACCATGCCAATATATTAAAGAAAGCAACCTGTTCCACTTCACTACGTCTAATATCAGAGATCTCCAAGAACAGGCAATGCAAGACATGAAGATGCAGAACTTCTAGATGATAGTGGATTAATCAATCTTTATTAAATTCCAAACTTAACAAAAATCAATTACAAGTTCTGCGACAGGTTTTCAGTCGACACCACAAGCGCGAGAGCATTTGGTTTGTGCTGCAGCAGTTGTTTTGCTAAATCGACAGAGATGACATTTGCGCTGCATCCCATGCCACCAAGGTTGTAGGAACATATATCCGCACGCATCTCAAAATGGTTGGCGATCATAGCGCATATGGACGGCGTCGGACAGAAGAGACTGCAATTGACTATGAGGTAATCGATCTCTTTCGGCTGTTTTGGTTTTCGGTCGTGACTGGGATTGGTTGATTCACTCAATACGATTTGATGTCATGTTTCTAGTCGACAAACGTAGTTTTCAAGATCTCTATCTTCAACACCTGTCTCCTTATTTATTTGTTGCGGGTGTGCATTCCATTCCATGAAGTCTATCATTGGCTAGCATACCAACCCCTAGACTATACGATGACACTCTGCAGCCTCAAATAATATGAAGTACCTTAACCTATGTATGAAGTACCTTAACCCCCGTTCGCTTGAGTAACCGTTCAACGGTCGGAAAAACGATCACCTCTGCTTCTCCTCTCGCTGCCGATAAAGTCGGTGCCCATGGTTTGCCGCCTTTGGCGTCCAACCCGTGAAGAATGCACGGTGGCCATGCTGTTCCATCTCCGATACCGCTTGTATTGAGGATGCGATCGAGAAACTCTTGAGATTTCTCGTTGATTGTAGGTTGTTTCTGCAAGATTTTTTTCGTTTCCTCCTTGCTCATTGACCATTCCTCTGGCGGTGCGGCGCATTCGAAATCCACACAATACACGTTGGACCGCCAATGAGGGCTAAAGCGATGGAAAAAAAGGAGCAGCGCAGCGCCGGCGAACAAACGAGTCTGTGGAGGTCGGAGCACGAAGTGTAAATTAGTTTGAGCAGGTGGAGGTACAAACTTTGATTTGAAAGTGCAATCATTGCCGAGATGTTGAACCTTCATGCCAGCGACTAACGAAAAATATTAAGTAAAGAAGAAAGTACGTATCCGAATTGCCGCAGGGTCTCGTAGCCGTACTCCGAAAGCACCAGCAGGTCACTCGGAAGACTGTAAAGAAGCAACGCAGCACCCAGAACTTGTATTAGAGGTAGAGCAGTGATGAATCCTGAATCTCAAAAGAATGCACAGATCTTCAACATCGCGACATGTGCAAGAGCAAGTGAAGATCATTAGACTTCTCCTTGCCGTTGTCCAAGATGTGAGTAAGTGCTCGTCTTAGTACTACTAGTAGACAGTACAACTCTTCCGCGGATCTTCGACATCCGCACCAGTACTTAATATTAAGAGCAATAAAACTTTGCAAACACATCCCTTCCGAAACCTCAACCTCCAACACCCAAACCCAAAACCTCCAACACCCGAACCCAAAACCTCCGACACAAAAACAAACAAACCCCAAACCCATGAACCCATGAACCCATGAACCCATGAACCC